CCGTACGTCATATGCTTCATTAAGTACAGCAAGGCTATATGCTGACCGTATACCGTGCAGACGGCCCTGCCAGAAATCCCAGTGCCGTCCAGAAAGGCTCCGTCCTCTTCCTCTCTACTCACCCGGGCGACCCGACTACTCCGGGCTACCCATCTCACGAAGGCGTCGACCGCGCAGATATTTCGCCTGTCACGCCCAAGATCCCTTCCATTCCAATCTCCTACGCATCCGCTGAGCCTCTGCTGCAGGCCCTTGATGGCTTTGGTGTTTCCGCAGAGGACGTCAATCGGACTATCTGGGCGGGCGCGTTGAATGCTAATTACAGCTCCGGCCCGGCCCCGGGCGTTACCCTACACCTGGATAACTTGATGGAAGGCAAGATTACGCCCATTTGGAACGTCATTGGCCAAATCAACGGCACCAATGCCGATGAGACGATTGTCATTGGAAATCACCGAGACACCTGGATGATTGGAGGCAACGGCGACCCCAACTCAGGATCCGCGATCTTGGTCGAATTCACGAAAGCTGTCAATGCTCTCGTGTCCAAGGGCTGGAAGCCGAAGAGGAACATGTAAGTCGTTGATTCTTCATCACCATACGAGATGGGTGATTATACAATCTCTGACTCAACTCCAGCGTGATCGCGTCCTGGGATGCGGAAGAGTACGGCCTTGTCGGCAGCACTGAATGGGTCGAAGATAACGTCGACTGGCTTACCGAGACAGCCGTGGCGTATCTGAACATCGACGTTGCAGTATCGGGACCGAGACCCGCCCTCGCTACCACACCTGAACTGCAGACCGTAGGCACTGAGATCTTCAAGAAGATCATCTACCCCAACTTTGGCGGCTTCAACATCAGCCTCTACGACGCTTGGTTGGAGTCCTCTGAAGGCATCGTCGAATCTCTGGGCAGCGGCAGTGACTTCACGGGCTTCTTGCACCGCGGCATTAACTCCGTGAGTACTTTTGACAACTAGGCACTGGATAGCGATTCATGGGGACAACAGCTAACAGACTCAAGCTCGATGTCGGCTCCAACAACGGCGCGACCGATCCGATCTGGCACTACCACTCAAACTATGATACCTACCACTGGATGGCCAACTTTGGCGACCCAGGCTTCCTCGTCCACGCCGCCATCGGGCAGTATCTCACTCTCCTTGCCTACCACCTCGCCGACGACGAGGTGCTCCCCATCGACGTGCCAAACTACGCCACCGAGCTGCGCGCATACCTCTCCGACCTGGAAGAATACGCGGAATCCGAGGATGCCGAGATTGATCTCTCCGAGTTGTCCGACGCCATTGAGGTCTTTGCGACGCGGGCCGATGAGGTCAAGGCCCTGGAACAGCTTGCTATCACGACGGGCGACGCGGACCTCATCACAGTTGTGAACCACAAGTACCGTGACTTCCAGAGGGGATTCATCAGTCAGGGTGGTTTGCCTGATCGGGAGTTTTACAAGCATGTTATCACTGCCCCTGGCTTAGACACTGGATATGCTGCTGTTCTCTTCCCCGGTATCACTGAAGGCATTCAGTACGGCAAGGGTAACCTCACAGTCGCCGAGGAGTGGGTTTCAAAGACTGCTCGAGGTATCTTGCGGGCTGCAGATATCATCAAGACGTGATTCCTTCATAGTCACCTCGTGAAGTCCGCGCAACGAGCGACACCGGATCCCGGAGGAAGTGGGGCTTGTCCCGAGGTCGTCTCGGGGAGCCCCGCGCTGTCGGCTCCATCCCTCCCCTCCTTTGTCAAGCCGCTATGGTAATACACGGCGCTTGTCGATGAGAGAATGACGGTTGATCCAGATACATTCAGCAAGGTATAGTCCATTATATAATATTAATAAAGATAAGTTGAACCAGACATCAAACTTGACATGAGACTTGATACTTGTCTAGGTGACAAACCCACATCCGATAGTGTTAAGACTTATGTATGCGTCGACCGAGGCCTCCGTCTCATCATGTTCCATACCACAGTCCACATCACAACTATGAAGGCGCAGGAATAGTGGTCATAAGATGTCATTCATTGTATCACGAATCAACCTAAACTCCTAACCTGCCTTTCTCACCCAACGAAACCGTGCATTCATGCCAATAACACGCCCTGGCTAGGTAAGGTCCTTTACGAAGCCTGGCTTCCAGGGCGCCGCTTCTCAATGTTGAGAACAATGTCAATGAAACTACGCTGCAAAGGACTCTTTTTCCTAGCAGCCAGCAATTGCGCAGTCTTGAGAATGTTCTTGATCTGTCGACCATTGAGTTTCAACTCAGACAGCTCAGTGATGTCCTCGTCAGAAACCTCGCTCTTGAGCGTTGCTCCCTGCAAAAAGTTGCGCCAGATCTGGCGGCGCGACTCCGGAGTGAGGTCGGGGTACTCAAGCGAGACGTGGATGCGCGACTGGAACGCCAGGTCGATGTTGTCAACGCGGTTCGTCGTCATGAAGAGGATACCCTCGTAGTACTCCAACGTCCGGAGGAAGATGGAGACGACCTTGTTACGCTCGAGGTCATGCGTCGAGCGCGCCTCGAGGAAGACGTCGCACTCGTCCAGGAGCAAGATCGCGTTCCACCGCGCCACGAGTTCCAGGATACGTGACAGGCCGTGCTCGACCTCCCACGGCTGCGAGCCCAAGTCGCCCGAGCTGAGGGTGTGCAAGGGAACACGGAGGTTCTCAGCGACGGCTTCAGCCGTCAGGGTCTTGCCGACACCGGGAGGACCTGAAAGGAGGCAGATGATGCCCTTACCCTTACCGGAGATGACGTCGTCAAAAGTAGACCCGTCGAGCTGCGACTCGGAGAAGGCGAGGATCAGCTCTTTCTGCTCCTCGGGTAGGACGAGCTTGTCAAAGGCATTTGTGTTCCAGGTGATCTCAGTGACCTGCTCGACGAAGAAATCGAGCCACTTCTTCAGCTTGAGGGAGTAGCCCCGCGTCCGAGACCGCGCCAGCATCTGGTGGTATGGAGTCAGCTTGAGGTTGCCATCCTTGCCCAGGCCGTGTTGGCGCTTCCACACCGAAAGCGCCTCCATGTCCTTCGCGTTCCAGTCGTCGACATAGCGGTTGCGGTAGGGGCTGAATCGGTTGAATGAGTTGATGTCGACGACGATGCGGCCTTCGACCTGGATGGGCACCTCGTTGCCTTCGCTATCCCAGGTGATGGCGGTGCCCGAGTACTGCTTGTAGTTGTGCCCGGCCAGCTCCTCAAAGATCTTGCCGCGCTGGATGAGGGAGGTGCGCAGCTTTTCCCTTTGGGCGTGGAAGGCCCAGGGGTAGGCGTTGAGGCCGGTGATCTTCTTAGTGCCGAGGAACTCGGAGATGTTAATGCGCTCGCCGTAGCGACCGAACTCCTTGCCGCCATAGTCGACGCAGTCGGCACGTAGCTGGAGGAACTTGCCGCAGTTATTCTGCATGTACTCAGTCTCCTCGAGCTCAAACGCTGAAAGAGGGCCTTTATGAGCCGAGAGGACGAGGGCACCAGGCTGGAAGATCATCCACAGATGCTCAAATTTGATGACGCACTTTGCAACGTAATCCTCAAAGGCCTTGATGGTGTTGCCAATCTCGTATTGAAGGATGTCATGCAGGATAGTGAGATGCTCTTTTGTGTGTGCATCAAGGTCCTTCTTGCCCAGGTACTTGCGGAATTCCGTCCAGCGGTGCACGAAGGGGCGGAAGGGGGCGTCGAACTCGAGACGCTCCAACTCGCAGGCAACACCGGTGTAGCCGTCCAGGATTTCGCCCAAAGCCTTCTTCAGCCAGGGGCTCTGAATGACGATGGAGTCGGCCTCGAGCTTCTTCCGGCTATCGTTGCTCTTGATGTTGCGCACTACGACTGCATACTGCTCCGTCTCCTCATTCTCGGCGGCTTCTTGGACGTCTTCGGGGTACTTGTCTACCCATGTCCAGTTGCCATCGCTGTCTTTGGCGGACTTGTAGATGTTCTTGGTAGAGGCGATTGAGCCGAAGGGAGCGAGTGGCTTCTTAGGCTTCTCCTCTTCGTCTTCCTTCTTCTCTTCGCCGTTGGTTCCTGTCGACGTCTCGTCTTTCCCGGCGGTCTCGCCATTTGACTCTTTGCCGTTCGTGGTTGTTGTACCATTTGTCTCCTCTTGAGCTGGGGTCTTGGTCTCTGTGGCCGACTCGTCAACCATCTGCAGGCCCAGAGCGGCCGCTGCAGCCGCGGTTGTGCGTGCCATTGTGAAAACTCTGTTGTAATGAAATAAGGGAAAGGATAGATGCTGGTGAAATCGAATCTCAAACTCGAGTTGAAGATGGTAGCCCGCGCATATTTATCTCCATTTTAATAACCCCCAGAAACTTACGCGCGCAAAGTGTAAGAAGTCTCTCTTTTGCCATCTCGTTGAGTTTGCCAGCAAAGCGTCAGGCATCACGGCATCGTGCTCTAGTGGCTGCCTCAACAGGGGTTGAACAGTTGATGCCTCTGATGCGCATGGCATGTGGCGACTCACCCCTGTTCACGGCTCATAAGCTGCCGACTGCGAAACGCATACGTATCTGCATGGAAAAGAGAGCATGTTGCTGCCTACAATGAACGGTCCGTCGCAGAAGCGTTGATCGAATGGGGAGGCCAATAGACGCAGGAAATGTAAGCACTAGAGCGGGATGGGATCCCACATTGACAAGGCAGAAGAGCCGCCCTGTCACAAAGTTTGCTGTCAGGATTCAGGCCGCCAGAGCTGGCCGTCTTGCTCATTCGCCGATTTGTGGCAAACAAAGCGGCCTCGACAAACAGACTCTTCACAATGTTTCAATGTGCAAAACAATTGAAGTTTAACTCAGAAGTCGGAACGAGAGTGAGACGTTCTGGTCTACAGAGGCCTCACGAAGGATTCTGCAAGAAGCCCAGATAGCGCCAAAGTCGCGTCAACTGCTGCAGGCAGACGAGCACTGCCCACGGTCCCCCATCATTTCAAGCAATCCTATTCAAGCGAGACGGGAAGCGCCGGTAGCTTGCTCAACCCCTGGAAGGGCTGAGCATCATAGCGTTACAGCGCCAGATAAGCAGACGGAATAGCGGGGGAACGAGATTTAATAGGGCTAGGATTATTGGTTCAGACATGTGTAGCTCATCAATTGTTTCCTGTAAGCCTCCCTGTTGATTGGGCCATGCAACTTGGAAGCCCGCGATGAACTGACTGCGATATTCTTCGTGGTCTTCCAAAGATCATTAGGAAGATCGAGTTCAGTCTACTTCAGCTGTCACCGCATATATACAATTTTCCACTGCTAAGAAAAGGGAATAAAACATGAATACGAGCAACTGGAAGTATGTACAGTGAATCCAAAGCGCTGACTAAAGTACTGACTTGCTTCAGGTTCTTCAACCACAAACACCACTTTGATACTACTTCCAGCTGGTACTGACCGTCACCGCAGTGGAGCAGCTTTGGGGCACAGTGTAGGATCTGTTCGGGTCACTCTCCCACGTCGCAGTTCCATCCGACGCTACATTGATGAACTTGTACTCGAAGGTCGTTCCGGCCGGCAGCGAGACAGTGTAGGTCCACAGGTTGTTCGAGCTGGTGTACTGCGCCGCCGAAAGCGCCGGAGCTGACGCCGCGTTCCAGTTGCCCAGCGCAGCAATTGAGCCCGCGACCTTGATCGTCTGGCCTGGGACCGTCTTGACGATCTCGTTGAACGTGACGGCCACGTTACTGGCGATGGCGCAAGTGCCGCTCGTAGCCGTCGCTGCAGCGCTCGTCGTGCGTGTAGAGGACGGCGAGGTGCTGCCGCCTCCACCGATGGCGATGTCGGCGCACGTCAGGTACACCTGACCCGTTTGGAATGAATTCCAGCGCAGCGACAGCAGGGTGTGGTTCGAGACGTAGTCGGGGATCTTGATCTTCTTGGTGACGGTGTAGCCGCCGGCGATGGAGGTGTAGCACGACCCCAGCGCGTTATTGTCGACGCCCTGGCAACCGCGTCGGCTGCTTGCCTGGAACGCGTTGCAAGTGAACCAGTCGTTCCGCCAGCACGCCTGGCCGGAGGTGCAGTCAGGGCTGTAGTCGCAGCTTTGTCCAGAGACGTCGGTGCACTTGAGCGTGCCAGCCTGGAAGCAGTTCTCGGCGGCCTGCTTCTCGTCGTCGGTGGGGAGGTATCCGGGAGTGATGAACTTGTCGACAATGGACTGGTCCTGGCAGATGCGGTAGCTGAACATGCCGCCGTGATCGCCGTTGTTATCGACGCACCACTGGACGTCGACGGTCTGGCCGCGAGTGTAGGTAGCGACTACATTGCTACCCCAGCTGCTTCCGGGCTGGTTGTAATCGACGCTGACGCGAGCGTTGTAGCCGCAGGGTCCGCTACGGCCGACGGTGGCGGCCGTCAGATCCGGCCATGCGGAGACGGGCTCCCGGATGGTGCACTCGGGGCAGGAATCTATGCCGGCCTGCCGGTGATTCATTAGCTCACGGACAAGTCTTTGGTACTACTTCTTGGGTCCTTACCTCAGCACCGAGGCGAGTGCGGCTGGACGGAATCGTCAGATATCCATGTCCATACACAGAGGAGACAAGGGTGGCGACTGCCAGAGTTGTGGATGCCTTCATGTTATATAGGCTGCTGTCGTCTTGTGAAGGGTTTGACCGTTCAAGATACCAACCTGTGGCAAGTGTCCTCAGAAGTGATGCTCGTGTCACGTTCCTCACAACGACAGTCCAAGGAGGATCATCTTGGCTTTATATATCAAATCACAGACTGGATTTCCAACAGCGTAGCAGCTCATTGCATACTCACATGCCTGCATGATGCTACTAGATATTTCACGATCCAACCTGCCCTCGCTACTCCCACCGGCACGCATCACAACAAACAACGCCGAAGTACCCCCAACCGAGACGGCCCTACCCGCACACGTTTCCCCGGACCTAAACTCGACCTGGCAGTCCGGGGCATCTCCAAAATATCATGCAGGTGATGGCGGGGTAGCAAAGTTCTGTTAGTGCCGGCTGTCATCTCTCCAACTGGCAACCACCGCGGGGTGAATAGGCCCGTTATGTGGCCAGCCATCCGAACACTTCTGCAAATGTTCACCCACACACGTAGACTTTGCATGAGCCGACCCCGCGGTCCCTGATGTGGCACATGCTACCAAGACAGAGTTCCTGATCTTGGCATGGTCCATCACACCCTAAGTCCACGTTCAAGGCGGAGTTGTGCGGAGTCTTGAGGAGTTGAGGTGGCATTCCGCCCTGCAGATCAGATGACGGGTCACGACGACCTCAAATTTGCGTAGAAGGCCCGAAGATGACTTCCTTCTCAGATCATGGCACGCACCTTTATCAATGCTAAGCTCTACCACTGTCTAAAAACTGCCGAAAAACGCCCGGGTTCTGCATACAGCTCGCCGATACCCAGCAAGCCCACATTGAACTCATCTTGCTATTGGTGGTTTAAAAAGATACCTTACTACCAAGTTTGTGAAGAGTCTGGTTGGGCAGGTCTTCTGCATTCATTCACTTACTTGAACTCGTCATCTTATTTCCTAGTCATTCTGACCTCAAACCCTGGGTGACGTTGGCTGTTTCGAAAATGTAATGAAGTGTTTACTTCATGTTCTGTCGAAGCTATGTCCTCGGCAAATATTTGAGAACCATCCTGGTTCGGATTCACGACTAACGTGGCCTTTGTATAACACTGACAGCGTCCCTAATCACAAGAATAGTTTCTTTAGAATTCTGCGTAACCCTTTGCGGAACTGTCGACGTGGATTGGCCCTCCAAAGATATCACCGAGGTCCCCAATTTCCAATTTCTAATTTCACTTGGAATCCTAGGTCGAGTCACTGAGCTACCTGGGCCGCAACGAAGCATTGAGATTCGAATGCACTTCATCAACCTTGCCTCATTCTACCAAATTATCTCGAAGCAAGTCACTTAGCAGACTGGACTTTTCCATATGCTAAGCCAGTGCAATGTGACGTCTCTTTATTCGTGCTGCGTCCAGGCTTCGCTTCTTTACCTCTCATATGAGCGTCCAAAATACACTGCTTCTGCTTCTGCCTCTGATGCGAGGACAAAGGCAAGACCGCCATGTTGAGCTACACACCACATACACACACGGAATTTCCGATCTTGTAAAGGACCGAATCGACGGTGGTGACGACAGATGAGGTGCCCACCGTGTCAGAAGTTGGTGTTGTGGCGCACCAAAAGCCAACCTCTGTCGACGACTACGGTACAAGTAGACTCCATCTACTTACTTGACGTGGCTGACGTGTCTATTACCTCATTCAGAAAACAGTTTTATGGTGACGTCTATAAGTAAGGTATCTTGAACACTCAGGAATGGACTCTCTAACTTCCAGCCTCTCCGGCATCACCAGCACGCCGTGACGCCTCCGCTTGCTGCTGCCGTCCTTGCAGCATGCTCCCTTGATCTTTCCCTTCTAGTCCCATTCAAAGATCCCCATCGCTTTCCCTACTTCTAAACTTTCGTGGGGTTTATAGAACTTCGGCACTCGATGTTGCATGCATGATGCATTGATAGACTCTATAAGTATAGTCTGCCAAGTCTGTCAACAGAACAACTGCCGGTGCAGCGTGCTATCCGCACGACACAGCATCGTTTTTGTAGCAGAAACGACTTCTGGCCATGTACCAGGATGGTTCTTAAAACAACGTCGGATCAAGCTTACATCCATCCTTGAGGATACAGATTTCCATCTCTCACCTCATATGCCTTCATGTCAGCTGCTACTCTTTTCCCCACCGTCCTGAACACCCAAAGACCGACGCATGTGAATTGATGTCATCTCTGGCCTTTAGCTTCCATAGTCCATAATCAAATGGAGGAGATATCATTGCTAATGATGGCTCTCGTAAATCATAGATCGGTCGAATTTCATTCTTCGGAACACCATAAGACTCCCACAACCTTGGAATAGAAGGGCTCTGACGGGCATGAGCCATAGCATATCTCGTATTTTGACGCATTACGTCATCCGATGCATCAGGATGAGCTTTAAGTTGGATTTCTTGGCGACAAAAGCTTTCATAGTGAACGCCCTGGGCTTCGTAAACGAAACTAATCACGGGAAGGGCGAATCATCAATCTAGTTGACTTTCAGCAGAGACAGATGCTCGGTATCATTAGACAAATGGCTCTGCCGAGGAGCGATACCGAGACTTAAAAGCAGCTCAGACTACATTTCGGATAATTGGAACATTAGTATTCGGGATGAGATCACTGGCTGGCTGGTGTGCTGCCGCACTGCCTACAACTTGCCACGACTACCTTGCGTTGATGATGCTAATGGTAACGCTATCCTGGAATTCGGTACCGTATTTTGAGTTCGTCTAGTTTCCCTCGCCCGCTCTACCCACTCACAGCTTTTGGTGGAAAAACGGTTATGGGCTTTTCCGGGTCTATCCCGTACTTGCAACTTGTCACCCGGGCATTTTCACTCACATCATCCCAGATAGGGATCGCCATGGCCAACCAAGCATGGGTCTCTTTGGTGTCCATCGGATATCTGAATTCGAAGTTGGTATTCCGAAGTTAAGGCTCCAAGTGCAAATATATGGCGGTATCTCTTGCGGTGGTTGCTTGTCTGTTTTTCCTGCATGTGCCTTCGGCGGTACATCAGCATCCTCTTGAGAAGCCATGTCAACGAGCACTCTTCCAGTCCGACGATGGAGTTGCTGTTGCTCTGTCTGCATGCTATTTCCTTATTTATCTGAGCCTTCATGGCATTGAGAAACCTCGTGTTGCCCTTCATTATACCACATTTTGAAGTATTTCCTAACATGGCCCGGGTCTCAGTCATGACCAGTCGTTCGTTCCCATCGTCTTTAATGGCCCATATGTACATGCAGTTACCAGTGAAAACTGATTTGGGGAAGCTTCACCTGAGAATTACCCTCGAAATGCCTTCCACTTTGGGTCACTGAATTCGGTGTTCTAAAGGCTGTTGTTAATGGATCCACTTAGTTCGCTTCACATCTATCGACTTCGGGTTTCTTTTTGACGAGGGCCGCGAAACAAAATCTAAATAATTTCTACATATGGTCAACCCATTCTGCTATCGACTCACTTCAAGCGCCCCTGTCGGAATCCACATGTGCTTACTTACCTTAAGTAGCCGACTCTAGTTCACCACTAATCTATTGTCTTTAGCACCTCTGTATCTGAACCTCAAAAGCCGTTCGAAAAGTGCCCGACCGTTGGGCCGCCATACTTTCAACTAGCGGGATTTTGAGACAAGCCACTGAAATACGAGCTATGGCGATCTTTCGTAGCCTTCAAGCCACGTCTCTGTCACCAAATTACGGTATGTACTTACTCTCCTGTGTCTTATTGTGAGCGATGTCTCCTGGCGATTCGTGTCATTGCCGCCTTAGCCGGTATGTACTTATCCGCGCTCCTGATAATCTGTCGCGAGGACGAGGCGCCCGGAGCTGACTTCGAAATTCTCTTCAAATTGCAGTGTAAGGTGGTTAATTAACCTGGTCCAGCGCACGTACTTAAGACCGTCGATGATAATGGTGGAGCCGTCGCCGGTCCGGCAAATGTCGAGTGTTTCCTGGTTCTCGGGTCCTGATCGAAAAGGAAAAACACGAGGTTCGAGTCATTCTTTCCTGGTTAAATGGGCCGTTGGCCGCAGGTTATCAAGGACCCATCAGCGCGCGCGGCGCGCCCACATTACGACTGGGAGTCCAAACAAGCACGGACAAGGCGATCGACAATCTGCTCGCGAGAAAAAGCCTCAGGGATATATCAAAAGATTTGCGCAGGCTTTTTCTGCCAGCCTTTGGGGGCAGTTAGGGCAGTCAGGGCAGCCGTGGAGCCCACGTTGCCCATGCAAATTGTCTCCGGGGTTCGCTTACGAGACAACAAGGGTGCTTTTCGGGATGCTGCCAGATCCGGTCTGCGCTTACTCCGTACACTGATGGTCTATCCGGGATTTCGGGGACTTAGGATTTGGCCGTGATTGTAGAGATGTGATGAACGATGGATCCTGTTTGAACTTTGCACAGCAATAGTATTTTGATATTTTCTATATGGTTATGGATTACACTATGTTACTTCTTTCGTTTAAATCGTATCTTCATACCATGTTATTGACCCTATGTCGTCTGTCATGGCCCGTAGTATCTGGTATCGAGTGATTATCACTCGTCTCATCTGGCCCGTTGTGTTGAATGACGTCCATCTCAAGGCCGTCGTCTTTTCCAACGATGTTCTCAGCCGAGCTGGCATAGTTTTTCCGGGGTCCGGAGCTGATCGTCTCGACATTCGTTCCTCTGGTCCCCCTCGTCCCCCTGCTGTTCTGCTTGTCGGGATTCGACAGCCCGAGTGTAGATTTTGCTGCGTGCCATGATCCCATGATGGCCGCGTCGAGCACAGGTAGCGAGGCGGTGACGATGCCCATGGATATGTCGAGCACTGTCCACCTCAAGATGATGGTGTAGTCCCAGAAAATATCTGTTGATGTGAATGGCTGCAGCTGTTGTAAGAGGCCGCCAGTCACAGTGAGCCCGCCAGAGGCCCAGATGATGAAGAGCCTGATTTTCTTGCCCCTATCAATGCGAATGCTCCACAAGATGATGATTGGCGTCGCCAGGAGGAGGATACTCTGCACCACGTGGATGATGCTGAGAACCTTCGCACTGAGGAACTGGTTTCCGCACGTCGCTGGCTCTGCCAAAGCTCCTGCAAACTCTCTGTCCCATACAGCTCGTGGCGGATTGCACAGGAAGATGCTCCAAAACAAGGCGGCGATGACATATGCAACGAGCGTTCCGAGGAAGATGTCCGCAAGAATCCTCCAGGTCCTGTAGGCTGTGTCGACGAGCCGTCTGATGAAGAGAGTGATGGAAATTTTGATGATGCCGACAATAGGGTAGTAGAGCAGTCGGCAGACGGTGAGGTAATACGAGTAGAATTGGTAGTCGTCGTAGGTATTCTCCCAGGTGTGCGTGCCGCCTCCCGCGTCGACGACGACGAGGATCTGTAGGATCGGATATACCACCGCAAGAGTCGCCGCTGCGATGATGACCCAGTCGTCCCATCCGAACTTGGTTTGTGCCCCCCGTCCTCGAACCCAAAGTCTTCCTGCTGTCGGTACGATGATGGCGAGCAAGACGACAATCATTCCCGCGATGATGGCGCCTTGCTTGGACTCGTGAACGGCGTTTGCAGGCTCCTTTGCGGCGAAGAGGTAGCCCAGACTGGGATCGAGTGTCGTAACACCATATTGTCGGTAGATACCCCTGATGATGTTGTAGTCCCTCGTGTTGTTTGGCGGTTTTCCAATCTTCGCTGAGGTCGTTGCGTTCGACATGGCGAAGGGACGGGGGGTCTGGGTTGGAAGTCAGGGGCAGGTCGGACACGAGGGAATGGATCATCCGTAAGGGGGAGGCCGGGCCGCTTTATGATATGAACTCGATCATATGTTAGGTAGCAACATGGCGGAGAATCTGATGTATCATGGCGCGCAGTCTAGGTTGGTTTCACATCGTGGTTATCAAGATCAAGTTCCCTGATGAGCGATGGCCTAGCTCGCGTTATTAACCCCATAAGGTGTGGATCAAGTCCCGGGAACGTGGGATGGGCTCAAAGATCGAAGACTCGTAGACTTGCAGACTATTCATTGTCCCTAGCATAATTGCAAATGTTGCGCAACAGCAGTGAACAGCGGGCATCAGCATGGGGAAAGACGAGCCGCTGTTTTGGCCCGTGTTCCACCAAGGCCCGCGATGGCCATCCAGCTAATAGATTAAGCGCATGGTCAAGGTTGTCTTGAAAGAGTGCAGCTGAAGTGGAGGGTGAGGCGATCTCGAGTCATGGCCCCCCCCCTTCACCCTATGCCGTCGGCAGCCAACCTTGCGACGTGAACGCCGGAAGGCCTGCGGGTTCGCGGCACGGGTCCAATGGTGAACCTTGGGCGTCAAAGATCGGACAAGCCCAAAGCTGCAGTCAGAAACTCTGAAAAGAGGTTCCTCAGCATTCCGGGATTTCCCCCTTCTTTGGCACGTCATGCCTCTGCCTTGTGCAGATGGGCTGGCAAGGGGTGACTTGCGGGCTGCGGCTTGGCTGCGATGGGTTGGGAAACTCGTCCGACGAGGGGGGAACACTCTCTCTACGGTGTTGGACCCAGTCTTGCCCAGTTCCCCGAGATTGCGTTCAAAAGTTCGTTGCTCCAATATTTGCAAATTTGGAGAGTCCTGTTTGGCTTGATCCGAACCAACACAGAAACGAACCAAGCTCCGGTCGTTTAGCGTATATTAACAGTAGTTCTCGTTCGCAAGCCCTGCTTTAGATCCCGTTCTCGCCCTTTCTTTGTTCGTCTGATGATGCGCGTTTGACCTGTTTGTGTGTTCCAGCCAGATAAATCTGTGCGCATCTAGCGCGCTCCTCTGCCTCTTGTCTGGCGTGTGTCAAACTGCTTCAACGTCCCGCCAGCCACGAGAATCATGGTCCGATTTGCGGCCTTCTCCGCGCTCGCGCTGGCCGCATCAACGGTCACAGCCACCTCAAGTGCCGGCAGTAGCTGCATCGGCGTCAACGCCGTCAGCTCCACGTGCAGACCCTCAGAGACGTTGCACAGTCGAGAATTCTTCTACGTCGGGGGCCAAAGCGCACCAGACCCCACGGGCAACATCACCATCGGCCAGCTCTACGTCGAGAAGCTCACCCCCATCCTCACCCTTCGTTCGACTCCCTTAGTCTTCATCCACGGCGGCGGTATTCCGGGAACCACATGGCTCAACACCCCTGACAATCGTCCCGGGTGGGCGACCTACTTCCTGAAGCAAGGCTACCAGGTCTACCTTGTCGATGCCAACAGCATCGGCCGATCCACAGCCAATAATGCAGCCAACTTCACCATGGCCGTGGGCATGTCGGCCGAATTTGTCGAGATGGGCTTCACCGGCGTCAAGAATTACAACACCTACCCTCAATCCCAGCTTCACACCCAATGGCCCGGTACGGGCATGCGCGGCGATCCCTACTTTGACCAGTTCCAACAAAGCTTCATCCCATACACAACCAGCCAAGTCTCCCAGGAGCTGGCCATGCGCGCCGCTGGATGTGAGCTTCTCTCCCTCATCGGCGCTCAGTCCTACCTGGTCTCTCACTCGCTGGGCTCTAAGTTCGCCGTCGGCATCTCCAATGACTGTCCTCAACATCTCGCTGGGAGCATCAATGTCGAGCCCTCTACGATCCCCTTCCGCGCCTACGGTTATGGTCTGACCAGCAGCGCGGCTAATCCCTGGGGTCTGACCAACACCCCCGTCGACTACGAGCCGGCGGTTTCCAGCGCCGCGGAACTCAACGCCACGGTCGAGTCTGTAGGTGAGGCGTCGTTGGCTCATCGTAACTGCTACCTTCAAAAGGAACCTGTCCGAAAACTTCCAAAGATCGCCAGTGTGCCCTACCTGGCCTTGACGGGAGAGGCCAGTGTCCACATTACCTACGATCACTGTATCATCGACTATCTGAAGCAGGTGGGAGGCCAACCGGAGTGGATCAAGCTTAGTGAAATTGGGATCAAGGGCAATGGCCACTTCATGCACCTCGAAAAGAACAACCTCGACATCGCTCCCTTGGTCCACAAATGGATCAAGAAGCAGCAGCAATGGTGGTGGTGGTAGGGTTTGCGTATTGCTGTTCAGCAGCGGGACTGGATGAGTTGTAATACCTATGTAAATAGTAAAAGCATACCTGTACACGTACGCAGTAATCCTAATCTGATGCCCCTAAAGCCTCTTGACTGCCCAGGGGACTTTGAAGTTTGAAGTTACCACCATCACCACATCGGACTCTAGCCCGGCCCGTCTCTGCCTGCCGAACCAAGAGTGACCGCGCATATAACCGCAGAGTCAGATCATCTTCATTATTTATACTACCGCGCTGCATAATGTGGATGTTTCAATATAAAGCTGTGCACTCTACTAAGACGGCCCGCGGCATCCTTACTATTTTTAGGTTCAGGACAAGGAAGTTTAACCACAGGAGTCTTTCCCCGGGGATAATGAAGTGCCCGCTCTGGGACAATTTGATCCAAGCTCCTCGGCAGTCTCAAGACAATAGCCCAACAGCGGTTTCATCGACAGCAACCATTTGCTGGCCTTGCGGCGTTGGGTGTTTTGGCCCCCAGGGAATATTCCGATTATTCTTATATCGAACTCCGGTTTTACAATAGCTGTAAGAAGCACTTGCCTCGAATCGTCCGTATTAATCATCACCGTATAAGTTGCTGATTTGATCTTGGCGGTACACGTGCACAATCGGGAGACGCATGTGCCACTACACGGGATAAGGGTTGAGGATTAAGAACGTTTGGACACAATTGATAGGTAAGAATTATATTACCCGCGCGATTTACTCACGGGTAGTAATCTTGCGGGACGTCGATAACACCGCTTATCCAGTAGACCAGTCCTCGGGCTTGTTCTCATCCGCCACTCTTCAAGTGAGAGATCGGCAGCCTGTATCCGCCCTTCAACATAGGGATAGGGACGGACGCAGTTTCCACGTGCCACAACCTTGGAAAAGGCCAATAGTCAAGTAAGCTAGTCACGGGCGCATAGTTGTAGTCAACGTACAGGTTGCCCAACAACTCGGCACCCGCGACCGTACCGTTGACCGGCTGCGTTGTTTTCGTATAGTTCAAAGGTCTGCTCTGATCGAATCCATACCACGTCGGCTTGAAGTCTGTGTCTGCGCTGACGACATCCAACCGCTCGATCCGCACGGGCTGCATGCCATCGTAGTACAGGGTCAGCTCGGCTGGATCAATCTTGATATAGTCCTGGATCCCGAAGCCGTCGGCCGTGACTAGCTGCGGAGCTCCGAACACGGGATACTCGGTTACGGGTCCGAGGGCGTTAGGCGGCACGGGACCAGTGACCAAATTAGGAGCGGCGGTGAAGTTATACCCGGCGCCTTGGTACGGAATAGACAGCTTTTCGTTCCCATCGGAGGAGATGGAGATGAAGCCTGAGTAAAAGGGAATCATGAAAGCGCGGAGATTCTGTGGCAGTAGGATTTCCACAGAAATGGTCTTGCTGTCGCCCGGGCCCAGCGTTACTGACGAACCTTCTGGAAAGTTGATGGTCGCTGTAAAAGGAAAAGAGGCTAGCGGTTGATAGATGTTGCTGAAGAACCCCACTTGGCCCGGTACGTCCGGATTAGGGTACCGAGCGATGCCGGGAGCTGGGGTGTGACCCAGAGTGTATTGTATGGCCTTGTCTGATGGGTTTCCGATACTGATGGAGTAATTGGATCTGGCGACGACCGACCAAGCCACATACCTGGACTGCTAAAGTTCTCCATCTGGCCGGCTCCTGCTTACCGAGCAAGCTGGAGGACAGCAGTTCGAAGAGTCACAGAGTATCCGCTTTGCAGAAACCCAAACTGGATCTTTTTGTTTGTTGTCGAGCCAAAGTTACGCGCAGTATTCGGCAAGGTAGCACTAAACACCTCCAAAAAGGGATTGTCAAGAACGTCCTTGTCCGGGTACGTGAGAATATTGTTGAAGCCTGCCGTAGCTGCAACATCTTGAATCAATGAGAGACCCCAGAGTCCACGTCGAACAACAATCACATAAGCCTCCTTGGAACCCGTAATTCTGCTCTCGGTGGCATCGTAATCCGCCGCCCGGCATCCGAAGTTGCCTTGAACACCCCCATCGCCGACATGCACAGCCCTGAGCGTACGGTTCAGGGGTAAAGACTGCCGTAGCGAATTACTTCGCCATTAGAATCGACCAACTCGAACGTCTGGAAAAGAGTATTCTCGACAGAGCCGGCTGCAATGGCAGCAAGGCTGTTTGCTGGGCCGTTGACTGCAAAGGGGAGATTGGCTCCGTCATTGCCCGCGGCAGCCACCACGGCAATACCGCTGTCCGTCACCTTCTGGATCAGGATATGGTAAGGGTCACTTGGCGAGTTGCCAACGGAGGAGAAGCCACCGATGGCCGTGCTGATATTTTAGGCTCCGTCGCTGGCAGCGCGCATCATGGCAGCAACCAGGACGTCGCTGCCGACGCCGCCGGAACAGCCGAAGACGTGGCACATGCCTAGAGTTGCTTCGGGTGCGACACCAACCATTCCTTGAAAGTATCGTTGGATGACGATTCCATAGTGATGATTCCTCAAGTAATCAGTGAGCATATTTCAAGCATTGGGAGTTATTTGGCGACTTACCTGAGACGTGACTGCCATGTCCACCTCCGACACAACCAGCCAGAAGATCCGTATCTTCGACTGGAGTGCCGTATCCGTCGTAGTCATCGCCCACGAGGTCATATTCAAACGAAATCTTGCACCCAGGTCCGAAACAACCGCCGAGAGCAAGATGATAGTAGTCGACACCGGAGTCTAAGACGGCAATCTTGACCCCTTTTCCTTTGATGCTGGCAGCATGCACACGACCAACTCCAGTCATGGTATGAGGGGTGTTTTAATCCAAGTCTTCTCGGGAATATGCTGTCTCTTTGTCAGCTTCCGCGAGGAACGCGATGAGGAATGTTTCGAGTGACTTTCATGATCGATAGCAGCCAGAGGTCGCGGGATGAACTGCACGGGAGAAACATTGACAACTTCAGGTAGAGCCTTAATTGCAGCGAGAGACTGATTGTTGTGAACGTTCATCGACATTCCATAGAAGAGGTGCTTATTGGTGTATTCGTATCTAACATCGTAAGAGGTCAAGGACGAGAGCTCATGCTTGAAAGTCACGTGGGCGTGTGTTCGACCGATTGGCGGCCGAGACTGGCTGGATCTCGGAGCTCGACCACAAAGGCGTTCGGAATGAGCTCCGGTTTGGGTCTGATGTTTCCATCAAAGGTGATGGCCTGGCTCAAGCAAAGCGCCAAGCTGGCAAAAACGAAGGGACGGTGCATCCTAGTGGGATTCACGCCGATTTGGATATAACGAGTGATAGTCAGCGAATTTGATTATCAAATGAAGCAATAGAGGCCTGGAACTGGTGAGAGGCTTATATGTGGTTGTTGTTTGAGTTGAAGTCGGTTTTCGCTATGACCGCAGAATCAGCGGCGTGGTGAGAGAACATACGAATGCAGGTCAACGTCGCATTGCATCTTGAAGTTGTTCGTGATGTAATCAGATCCTGGCACACTCTCGTGTTCAGGCACAGGCTCTTCACTTGCGGAACGCTTCATTGAGGTTATACTTAACGCAGTAGGCAGCTGAGTCCGCCATCCTTTCACCAGACATCTACGCTTTAGTGTAATTTCAGTTCATTGCAATGTTACAGTGCGATACCGTAATCTTCAACAACCAGATGAAGGGAGGTTAAGTCTCGTATACGCGGAAGACCCTAGAATCGCGCGAACAGACCTGCCTGATATGGCGATTTGTTATCGCGTAATATATGCAGTTGGCTGACATTGTAATCAAATAGTGACAAGTATCGCACGCCAAGATGAGAGTCTCTATGCACTCACTCTGAAGTACCTTACTCACACAAGAAATCACTGAGATTCTACGCAGGACAATGGACCAATGCACCATCTCTGAAATATTCTGTATTTCTTATTACGGCGGTTTTCCTCGTTCGCTGGCCTAACAACAATGTTGATGCCCAACAAAGTCTCGGACAGAGTTTTCCACGTTACAAGCCGGTACTAGATTATAGTGTTTATGTGAAAGATGCGGTAGCCAGCTAGCTTTGGGATAGTGGTATGATACACGACATGCAACGGAACGCGCTCACTGACAGTCGAGTTAGTGGAAGTAAAAAGAGCAACTCCTCCTTGGAATGCTAGAGAACACAAGTAGCAAGTCTGACGCACGTATCAAGCATCAGGGGATTTGCAGACTACTTTACGTCTTCACACAACATTTCGATGTGTGAAAGTTGGAACTAGAGCAAATGTCGATCCAGTACTAATGTTCTTCCGTAGTGACTGGAGCTTCAAGATACTTGAACATCTGGCCAAGACTTAGGTAACTGCGTTCAGGAACGATTCACTGTCCTCGAGGCTCATTGTGAAAGTGATCACCATGATGATAGTGTGTATCGGATCACATGGTATCGAAGGTCGATAGACCAAGCCATTGATGGATGTGATTTTAACAGGACATTGGAGTTAAAGTTGGGATCTTTTCATTGAAACGTGAATCATATTCAATTGTTTAATATCAACGATCATGAGACGAAATAGGCTGTTTTGATTTACCTACTTTATAATAGCTTCCCAATGGCCTAAGTCCTCTAAATCTATCGGAGGTCTTCGAAACTTCTGGACCTCCTTTGAGTTTTTAGTATCCTTGACCTCTCCGACTTTTTGCAGACAGCAACGTTTCCTAGTGTTTGGTACATGAATATGGCTCAATTGACTAATTCTGTCGCCGCAGCGAGTAATTGCTTTACGATTGTTACACTTCCTTGACGGTTCAATGGCAAGTCTACCCGTATTTACACGCCGCTAAAGGATAAACCAGTCGATAAGTCGGCTTGACGAAGTACTGATCTTTATTCTCTTCCGCAAACGCTCTCAGCACCCGTACGCCTTGGGAAATCTGAAGCTTCCGTATATTCTTTATGATATCTCGAGAAAATATAGCTCAACGCAGCTTCTCAAGGAGTCTCGGAAAGGAACAATATGAGATTGGCATGGCTAAGTAACTTATGTTATGCGGATATGGAGAGAAAACAACCTCATCTTGAGAGAAACATAGCTCATAGGACACTGAGGTCCACTAACAGGTAAGTTACGGATACCTGATCCCTCCCATTGTAAACTCAGCCATTGAGCTAACTCCCAGCTTGTGTTGTTGACATAATCGCAACTCTAGAGTCATGTGGCATTGAGGGGCGGTGAGATGACTGAGTAGGAAAACGACGGAAGCAACGCACTCCAAGCAAGCTGTTTCCGAAAGATTTTCGAGCTCAGGCAGCTTGGCAATCCACAACTTCCCCTCCTCTCCCCCTTGTTAACAACGGCTCACAACCCAGATGAAGGCACAGGCAGACGAGTGTAGCTAAACCAAGAGTAATCATCGCAACCGAGGGATTGGCTGGAATGATTGGTGCGCATCTCCCACACGCAACTTCGGTACTTGACTCCATTCCCCCGCACGAACCCCACAGCTTAGGTTCTTGGGGTTCATCCGAAACGAGCAAGTTTGTACGGCGGAGCTCGAGATAACATTGGCCCGGCTCCCGCAACCCCAATCTAATTTTCTTTCCATCTCGGCACAACCATGTCATGAAGTCCCGCGACTCTAATCATCATCATCGATCGTCCGTTGTTTGTTTGGAGCGCATACAGTTGCTGCGCAGCGGTGCACCTAGTCAGTGGTCGATTCATGCTTCACGCCTTGGAAGCTCCTCTTTGACAGCTCTGGAGTAGGCCCTGCCTGCCAACGACAATGTTTCTCCAGGCTTCTCCAGTCTGGGGGAGCTGAGCCAGGGTTAAAACGGTTATGGAGAGTCGCCACATGGCCGAGGTAACCGAGAGGAAGCTCATGGCTCGGGCAAGGTCGCATTGTGCAGCTTGCCACGGCCACCAGCCCCAGCTCAGTTGCTCCTCTGGAACCAACCCCATGGGTCAACCAACGAGGAACGCGATGTCCAATGCTACCTTATAAAAGGTGCGTTGCTTCTCGGTCCGGAGAAAGTTGCCTTCCTGTTCTCGCACATCGTTCTCCAGACGCGTCGCATCCTGCAGAGATCGTCGAGTCGCAGCAGTCATTATGATGCTCAGATCCGCCTTCATCGCCGCCGTAGGCGCGCTCACTTGCGGATTCGCCTCTGCTCTTGAGACGTTCGAGCGCAACCTCATCTTTCAGCCGCCTGACAACTACACGGATCCCCGCGTGCTGTACCCTCGAACGGTTCAGCTCGACGACGGCCGTCTGCTGGGAACTTGGGAGAACTACTCACCGGAGCCCCCTCTGGTTTGGTTCCCCATTTACGAGTCTCTCGACGGTGGTCTCACTTGGGAGGAAGTCGGCCAGGTCCACGACCAGGTCAACAACTGGGGCTTGCGTTACCAGCCCTTCCTGTACGAGCTCCGCGAGGACTTTGCAGGCTTTCCTGCTGGAACCGTCCTTCTGGCCGGTAACAGCATTCCCACCGACCTCAGCGAGACTCAGATCGACCTGTATGCGTCTCAGGACAAGGGCCGCACTTGGGAATTCCTCTCCCACGTCGCTCGTGGCGGTCGGGCCATTCCCAACAACGAGGAGACACCCGTCTGGGAGCCTTTCATTCTGTAAGTCGAGAGCAAACCGAACCGCAACGCATACAGTCTGAAATTACTAACATTGATTGTAGTATCTTCGAGGACGACCTGATTCTCTACTACGCCGATCAGCGCTCGGCCGAGCACGGCCAGGAGATCTCCCACCAGACCACAAAGGACCTCAAGGACTGGTCCGCCGTCGTGACCGATGTCTCCTACCCCACATACACCGACCGCCCCGGCATGCCTTTCGTCACCCAGCTCGCCAATGGCGACTACATGTACACCTTTGAATGGGGCGGCGCTCCCATTATCCCGACCTACGCGTTCCCAATCTATTACCGCATCGCGAAGGACCCCCGCAAGTTCGCCGACGCCCCCGACATGTACATCAACAGCACCAATGGCGGTGTCTTCCCCATCAACAGCCCCAACGTCGTCTGGTCTCCCGTCGGTGGCTGCAACGGAACCATTGTGGTGTCAAGCAACAGCGCCCCTCTCTTCATCAACCGCCGCGGCGGCGACCCGAGCGCGTGGGTTGCGTACGACTCTCCTGAGGCTGGCGCATATACTCGCAACCTGCGGATCATGGAGGAGGACCCTGATTACCTCCTCATCATGGGTGCCGGCGTCCTGCCCCCCAGCACCACGAACAAGGTTACTGTCAGCATGCTCAAGCTTACCGAGCTCTTGGGTCTCAAGCAGGCATGATGAATGACAAGGATTCCATCTACATAACAAGAGTTCGGGTTGCTTATTTGGAGGACGTGCCTTACACCCAGCACACGACAAGTACATGAACGCAACTAACGTCATAACGAGATATTGCTAAATGATTGATATTCGCTTACCACCAAGTATGGTGCTCGTGTCGATATTTCCGCTCGGATATGTGTTTCCTCTTGGCTCTCTGCTTCCCCGTGACGTGATTTGCACAGCGGATATTATCTCTTGGCAGACCTCTGCTCCAATTGTCTGTCTGCAGGTGACTGAAATTCGCTTGTGCTTTCAGAAGCTACTTATACTAATAGTCTCTCAAACCTACGAAAAGTTGCTCCAAAGCAGTCCAAAGAAGGCCGGAAAATCCAGAGACATGGGCAGAAGACTGCGGCGGGCTCACTAGGGTGGTGAGCGCAGCAGCCGAAACACCAGCAATCTTGGCCAATTTCTCCGCCGCCATCTAGCCTCAAAGACCAGGCTTTGTATGGACGGAAGTTTCGATGTGTTCCTGAGTTGCCCCGGGCTTGCGGGCCGTTGGAGGTGGCGCAACTCCCCGCATGGAAAACCCTACCACGTCTTAGCCCGTCTTGGGAGACAAGGGACGAACAGGTGGTTAGCCGACAAACGCGGGGCTTAGGAGCGGGGAAGAACTAACAACTCGAGGTTCGGATAGACATGCGGTGAAAGGTCCAATGTCTGTCGCTCTTGGTGCACAACTTCCTTCGCTGTGTGTGGTGTGTTTAACGGCCAAACATGGCGTAAGAAACATGTATGCACGTCATGTCCTTTCCCATCCCATCTTCGTGGACCGATGACCACACCTTCGCATGGTTGGGGTAAGAGAGGGGGAAATTGAGATTGCGATGAAGCTGCTGCGTTGCCAGATGCGCTCAGCCATTCAGATCCCACCAATGCCGATGATCCCGCCGCTACGTGGAGTTCAAGGTTGGGGATGGTGACATTTCCGGTCCGTCGCTTGTCGAGGCCGGATGTACGAAGCCGTTGTCTTCCGTCAAATAGCACCAGATTCCTCGCTTCGTGAACTCGTCCCTGCATTGTTCCAGTCGACGTTGCATAGCTTCAGTACAAGCACGGTTTCAAGTGTGCTGCTGGTGCATCGATTAGAATGTTGCTGTCACGTCTCAAAGCCCTTTCCCTATTGGCCTTGGCCTGGCTCGACGGAGTCAATGCCAGAGCCATTGGGACGGATTTGAAGCTCCTCAATGGGAGACAGCAAGATATTGTGAGTTTTCTAATGTCAATCTGGCTTTGGGAGTGACAATAACTCGAATTCGATCTTCCTCAAGTTGGCGGCCTTTGAAGATGTCCCGGAAACATTGGCTGACATGGCTCTCCTAGGTGACATGGGACGACAAAAGCTTGTTCATAAATGGCGAGAGATTGATGATCTTCAGTGCCGAGTTCCATGCCTTCAGGTGAGCGAGCAGTGGCTATGGATTAAACCAAGGCGGAACACACGCAGACTGACCATGGACGATAGAATGCCGGTTCCGTCCCTATGGCTCGATATTCTCCAGAAAATTAAGGCAGCTGGCTACAACTCCGTCTCCTTCTACGTCAATTGGGGACTCTTGGAGGCGAAACCGGGTGAAGTTCGCGCCGAGGGCATCTTCGCACTCGAGCCACTCTTCGAGGCAGCTGAGAAGGCTGGGCTCTACCTCTTTGCTGTAGGTTACGTACCCGCCGTATTCATTGCCAGATGCGCCTCGACTAACACGCACTGAAGCGACCGGGACCCTACATTAACGCCGAAGTTACCGGAGGAGGTTTCCCTGGTTGGCTCCAGAGAGTCCAAGGAGCTCTCAGGACTGGCGACGAAGCCTACCTGAAGGCGACTGACAAGTAAGACAACACCTATAAGCGCCCATGGTGTAACAACTTGTCAACTAACATGCAAAGTTACACCGCCACCCTTGGGAGCATCATTGCCAAAGCGCAAATCACAAATGGAGGACCCGTCGTCCTCTTCCAAATGGAGAACGAGTACAACGCTGCCGTCGACCCGTACCCCTTCCCTGACTACGACTACTGGAAGTATGTCGACAATCAGTTCCGCAGTCACGGCGTTGTCGTGCCGTACGTCAACAATGAGGCCTGGCAGCTTGGTGCCATCACTGCGCTCACGCCCGCCAAGGTTGATATCTACGGACACGATGGGTATCCGCTGGGCTTCGACTGCTGGAACCCCACGGTTTGGCCTGAAAATGGCCTGCCAACTGATTGGCTTGCAACGAACAATGCTATCGCACCAACGACCCCGTATACTATCGTGGAGGTCAGTGACATCATAGTGGTCAGGTCCAAATTGAGCCTCTCTAACAGATCATAGTTTCAAGGCGGTGGCTTCCAGCCCTGGGGAGGCGCCGGATTCGAGTATTGCGCGGCCCTCCTTAACCACGAATTCGAGCGCGTCCTGTACAAGAACAACTACGCCGTCGGAGTCACAATCTTCAACATCTACATGGTAAGCAGCTCAGTATGTGCTCTAAGCTTTACTTTCTAATGATTCCGGGCAGACTTGGGGTGGCACGAACTGGGGTAATCTCGGACACTCCGATGGCTACACCTCGTATGACTACGGTGCGCAGATCACCGAGGAACGTCTAGTCAACCGTGAGAAGTACAGCGAGACGAAGCTTCAGTCCAATTTCCTTCACGTCTCTCCTGCCTACCTCGTGGCCGATCGATTCAACGCCTCGCTTGAATGGACTAACAACGACGCGATCACCGTCACTCCGGCAACCACTAACACCACCAAGTTCTACATCGCCAGGTACGTGGTTGCACCGCCTTCAGCTATGATCTAGTTCCCCTTGCTCATCACACAATAGGCACACAAAGTACGATTCTCTTGAGACAACAGCCTACAAGCTTAAGGTGAAGACTGTCAAGTACGGTGAACTAGAAGTTCCCCAGCTCAGCGATAGCCTGTACTTGACCAGACGCGATTCAAAGATCCATGTTAGCGACTATCCTGTCGGCGACAAGAATCTGATATACTCCACAGCTGAGATCTTCACCTGGTAGGAAACTCAAGTAGAGCAGCTTTGACACTTTTCTAACATCTCTGCAGGAAGAAGTATGCCGACAAGACCGTGCTAGTCGTCTACGGAGGTGCCGATGAGCACCACGAGCTGGCCATTGAGGGCGAGCAAGCCGATGTCACCGATGAAAACGTAATTGAGGGCTCAGATGTCACTATTGAGCAGTATGACGGCTACACTGTCCTGGGTTGGGCTGTCTCGGACGAGCGCAAGGTCGTCCGCGTCCACGAGAATCTCTATGTTTACCTTCTTAGTAAGTTGTCGGCAAACATCTTTGCGTCTTCTAATCTAACCGAAACCTTGTTAGCTCGAAACGAGGCTTACAACTTCTGGGTGCCTCCCGCTGTCGGCGACTTCGGCACCTCTGATGTTATCGTCAAAGCTGGATACCTCGTCCGCAATGTTGCCGTCAATGGGGACTCCATCAGCTTCTCTGGTGACGTCAACAGCACAACCACCATTGAGATTATCGGCGGCGCTCCCTCTTCTCTCAAGACTCTGAACTTCAACGGTAAATCTCTGGACTTCAAGCAAAACGATCACGGAGCTGTGACTGCCAAGGTTGACTTCTCCACTCCCGAGATCAGGCTTCCGTGCATCAGCCAGCTCAGCTGGAAGTATGTCGACAGCCTACCAGAGATCAAATCAGACTACTCTGACGAGTTGTGGACGGCCGCGGATCTTGAGAAGACGTACAATACCGCGAACCCCCTGAAGACACCCACCAGTTTGTACGGAGGAGACTACGGGTACCACACCGGCTCGCTTCTCTACCGCGGTCACTTCACTGCAACCGGTGAAGAGTCGACTTTCAACATCACCACCCAGGGAGGCAATGCCTACGGTGCTTCAGTGTGGCTGAACGACGGGTTCATCGGTTCCTGGTTCGGAAACGCTGTGTCGCCCGCCTATAACAGCACGTTCACCCTGCCCAAGTTGACCAAAGACAGAGACTACATCTTTACGGTCGTGATTGATCACATGGGCCTGAACGGTAACTGGGTCGTTGGCGAAGAACAGCAGAAGAACCCCCGCGGCATTCTCAACTACAACCTTGTTGGTCACGAGCAATCCGATATTAAGTGGAAGATTACCGGCAACTTGGGCGGCGAGGATTACGCCGACGGAGAACGCGGCCCTCTCAACGAGGGTGGTCTTTTCATCGAGCGGCAGGGCTACCACTGGCCCCAACCTCCGTCGGCGTCTTGGGAAGACAGCAAGGGTCCCTCCGTGGGAATCGAAAAGGCCGGAATTGCCTACTACTCTGCAACCTTCGACCTCGACCTCCCCTCCGGCTTCGATATTCCGCTGTCTCTGACGTTCGCCAACACCACCACTACTGCCTACCGCGCTCAAATCTTTGTAAACGGTTACCAATTTGGCAAGTTCGTGCACCATGTCGGCCCCCAGGCTCGCTTCCCTATTCCCGAGGGTATTCTTAACTACCAGGGATCTAATCACCTGGGCATCACGCTCTGGGCCATGGAGAAGGGCGGCGCCAAGGTTGAGGGGCTCAAGTGGGACGTTGGCATGGTCAGCGCAACTGGTTTCGGGAAGGTGGCGCCTGCACCGCAGCCGAAGTGGACGGAAAGAAAAGGGACTTACTGAATAGTTGCAAAGCATCAAGCGGGCTTCATCTTGCGTGATATTTTGTGCTGACGGCAAGCCCTTGATACGTACTTTCCCCTTCAACCAGGGCTTAGCTATCCATACCTTAACTTATCCAGAATCAGGACCCCAAAGTTTTGATTAGTTCAGTCAGCTGGGCCCGGATCGTGACTTTGTTCAAGGCTTGATCAGAACGAGTCGCTCATTCCTGCCGGGTGTGTCTTGCCATCGTGAAAGTGCATATGGACTGTGTAGACAATTAATTATACGTCAAAAGGCTCCTTCTGGACCGGCAACGAAGATGAACGGTATTTGATTTAGTTTAAGGTTTAGCTTATATGTTCATATCGCGACCAGTAAGATGATACGATACACAAACTTGAGTATGTATACAAATGAACAAAACTCGTAGTCCGCTGATCCGAGACACCATCCTGTGGCAAGTTCATGAGCTACATCGAGATCGGTATCAAGAGCCCGGCTCCCCAAGTACGTAATGGCCCCAAGTCAACGGATACCGTCGATATTTGCGCTGACAGCCACTTAAAGTTTGGTGTTAACGCTCTGCACTGCGCTCTGCGGGACGTTGAGAGCCTTGGCAGCCTTCTGGCCACCGGAAACGTTGACACCCTCCCACTTCCAATTGCGGCAAGCGCCGGATCCGCACAGAACCTGAACGTCGGTTCCGGAAGACTTGATGTTGCCGGAAATTTTGCTGACGGTAAGATCGGTAATGGGGACACCGCTGGTGGGCTTTCCGGTAGGGGATCCGTTCTTGTAGTCCTGCTGAATGATAACACCGTACTTGTTGATACCAGTCATAGTAATACCAGAGTATACAACGTCCGAAACAGCACCAGTCGCACCAGCAACGGTCTTGATTCTGACGCCGTTATCCGAGTCGATAATCTTGGAGTTGAGGATGCGAACGGTCTTGACGACGTTGTTGGAGCGTCCACCGACGGATCCAATGGAGAGACCGTGACCACCGATGCAAGTGCCGCCGGTGAAAGTGATGTTGGAACCGGAGTTAATAGCAAGGCAGTCATCCTGGTTCTTGACAGTGCAGCCAGAGATGTAAATGCCGCTGGAGGAACCGACGTCGAAACCGTCGGTGTTGTGGCCGCACTGGGAACCGCCATCGCCGGCAGAGTCGTCAATGTTGACATCGTAAATGCCGAGGTTAGTACAGGTGTTGATGGAAAAGGCCTGAACAGGGGTGTTGAGCACATTCAGTCCGCGAATGTTGGAGTTTTGCAGAGAGTGGGCAGCGAAGAACTTGGGCTTGTTCTTGCCTCCGTTGCTGCCCTTGCAATCCCACCAGCGCTGGCCACCGCAGTCGATCACATGGCCAGAGGCGCCGACAACGTTGACGTTGGAGCCCGAGACGGAAATGAGGGGGCCAGCCCACTCCTTGTATCCGAAAGTAGTCTTGCCTTGGAAGGTAACCTGTGGGTTGGGTTAGTAAACCTGAGTGAGAGAAAAATGCCGGCCTGTTGGCCATGAGATGCAAAGTTGAGAAATCGACGTACGGTAGCGCCCGACTTGAGGCCAGTCAAGTCAAGAGTGACTCCAGCGGGAACAGCGATATCCTTCAAGACAATGTTCGAGCAGCTAGCCTTGCCCTTCATGGCAGCGTTGGCGTCGGTGAAAGTGCAGCCGGACTGGCTAACAGGCGCAGCCAGAGCAGTGGCAGCCAGGCCAGCGAGAGCGAAGAAAGAAACCATGTTGAAAGCAGAAATGTTTTGTTCGAAGCAGGTTGTTGTTATGTTGAGTGCCCTAGGGCGATAGGTACAGAATGAGTGAGTAAACGAAAAAAGAATGGACGAGCCAAAGCTCAAAGGATGATAATGATCAGAGTAGAAGGTCTGCTGGTGACAGTTCGAAAGATATCGCAACTACTGCCAAGGCCGTGGGAAGTGGTTGATTTATATCTCATTTGGAGACGTTCTCAGCAGGGCTTTACCAAGACTGTCAATCAAAGCTTGTGTTCACCGTGACATATCAAGAAACAGGGGTGACCGCCGGCCGAGTCAGTAAGACATAAGATGGCCACCTAGACTTGGGGCAAACGCCGACAAGGATCGCCATAGTTGGATGCCCGAAGAACATTCCTTTTTCTGGGAACAAAATACTGGCGTCATCTCGAGCTCGCACTCACAGAGATTACCTCCAGAATGACTACTCAAATAAGCTTGTCTCATATATAGTATATCTGCTAAGCTGTGGAGTGGTGTGTGGGAAGTTCGGAAAGAGCCTCAACGAGGGTTTGCCGAAAACCTTCATTCGCTTGATATGGATGGGGGCTATAGGTGTTTGCGCAACGACGAAACCTAACCTTCCCCAGGTTCGTGCCTTCCAACTCGAAAGCCTTCTCCCTTCATTTGTTTTCTGTAATTTTCCTTCGTGAAAGTGAAATTATCCGTACATCGTACTTCGACACGTTGCGAAATGTGCCTCGTGCGGTGTGCATCTAACAGAGTTCGACGCCATCTTGCTAGTCTGCAAGTCAGCTCCATAGCCAGAAAGTCTCACGGACCGACAGAACGCAGTGGCCAGATACTATGCACTTTCCCATCACGCATATAAGCAATAAAACTGACTTTTCAAAAGGTGCTTCCATTTCGCGATAATAAACCTCATTCTGCCCACACTCATTAGCGGACGAAGGCACGACTCCATTGTCCCCTCTTTGACGTCCGCTTTGCTTTGACCCGATGACTCGGTGAGTTCGCCTCAAAAGTGAACTTTGAGATTGTTTCTTGGCTCATTACTGAATCTCTTGTTTTCAGAATCTTTCTAAGCGCGTACTACCATCCTGCCCTTTATGTTTGCCGCATCACTTGATTCACGAGATGTTTCCATATTTTACCGCCAGAAGAGAGATCGGGCAAGATGGATCGCAATTGAACTGCTGATGGGTCCGGTGCCCGACACTAAGTCTCCAGCCGTAAGCGCCGAGCAGATCAAATATCCCCCGAAAGAAAACCCGTCTTTTTGACCGCTTCGGACGCTTACTTCCAACATGTCAGAAATCACAAAGGCTGCGGTGATTTCCCCTGAATAGCAGCAGTATGGAGACGGGTTGCCACCTCAATATTTGGATTGCCTCATTCTGCTTTGTCTATTAGGTGGAATGGTCCATCAAGCCGCAGCAGAAATATGAGCGATCGTCGAGAACTTGGGCTGCGAGCAGGATTCGTTCGAATCAACAAGTGTGGAAAGCACCGGGATAACCTGGGTTCCCACGTTAAAAGAGAAAGTTTGCAGCTTCTATCCACAACTCATGTGGCAGCCACAAAATAATCACGCTGCAGCAGAATTATGAGTCTCGGCTATCCGGGGAATATGCTGGCCTTCTCCCGAGACCCAAACGCCGATTCTAAAGTCGGCTCACAGGCTGGCACTCTACAGCTTGCTGCTGATAGCAATGCGCGTAAAGTTTTACTAGTCGCAGTTTGTAAACTTGAAACACATGAATAAAGTATTCACTCAAATCCGCAACTACAAGTTACCGTCGACAGTGAAGGTCTAGATGACAAGCTGTCGAATCTACCGAGCATTACTGCAGAGTGTAGGGAGAGATTATTACATATAACAAATGTAGATCAGCGCCCCTGGTAAGGTAGAAGGAGAAAAGTTGCAGTAGTTCCTATCTGCTTCTCATTCATATGACGTAGATACTTTATCTTGTGCCTCTTTTTCCCAAGTACCTGCTTGAAATTTCCATTTTGGGATTTTCGGAGGCATTCCCGCAGATGACGCGGTGCAGCCGTCTCGAACTACTTCGTCTTTTTCTTCTTCTGAAATGTTCTGCCTTGTACTTGATTGCTCGGGCCCAAAGTGGTGCTCAACAGACATTTTATACATCTGACAGAAGCAGTCAGTTCATGAATGGATTTGCTATGGAATGACACTACTTTCCTCGCATTTTATAGGTGTGTAGTTGAGGAGGCTGGACTGTTCCTTGGCTGCCAAGAGGCGGCGGAAGTGCATCCATATAATCATTAAAGCATGGGTCTCCATATTTGTGGTAACATCGACCAGGATTCTATCTACCACAATTCAGTCGACCATAGATTAGCAGCTGTTAACCTATTGTGTTTCAACGTCCCTGTCCGTACCTTATGCAGACTTCATAGATGGTATGTATGGTTTGGATGGTTTTTATTCTATCTAGGTCGGATGATTCCGTCCCGCCGATCGACGCGGATGCCATCCCCTCAACGTTCCACCCCAAGCGAACCAGAGCAAAGGGCTGATGCATGGCCGTAAACCAACTCAACATTCCAATCCCTGCCAATTTCTCCCAACGTCATATCTGTAGACCGCCTCCTGTCTCCATCGCCAACTTCGTGCCTGGCGTAGATCCGCCTTGACTTCTCTTGCACTCCACTGTTCCCCATATGCTCCCCTGATCCTCAACGATAAAAGCAGCTCCCAAATTCGAATCCCGGCTCGCTCCTTTGGCACAAACCAGGCTAGACTTATGTTGCCTGGCCGTTTTTCGGCGACGGCAGAAGTATTCTACCACTTCTTGCGCAGGTTTCTATCACAGAGGATACGCGCCACAAATTGCAAAACAGCTGAGGCGGTCAGGCACATGCCGGTGAAGATGATTAGGTGTTGATACTCTTCCGGCGTTCCTTGTCGAACGAAAGCTCCGCCAATGGGCGTGCCGGTGAAGACTCCAATTGCACTCCAGATGGAAAATGCACCCAGCCGGGCACCAACCTTGTCCTCCGGAGAGAGCCTGACAGTCACAGATGGTGTGACGCTGATGAAGATTCCCGAGCAGAAACCTGCACTACGATTAGCTGACTCGAGTTCTCGCAAGACTGACGCATGTACAATGATAAAGCCATACCGTATAAGCAGGCAAAGGCTACGATCATGCTGACACTGGTGGATAGAAGCCACAAGGTGAGGCAGAGTATGCCTGAAATTGCCGTCAGTGGATAGAGGAGGTTCAATCCACCCGTGTGATCGGCAACGTATCCGCCACTAAGATGCGTCAGTGTGGTACTCATGGTCATCTATTGGAAAACTCATAGACTTACATCACTCGGCCGAAGAAGCTCGATCCGTTGATGAGCGGGAGAAGGTAGTTCCTCACCGCGGCTCCCGGGTGGTGAATCGCGATGTACGGCTCTAAACAGCAATCAGCTTCGTTCAACGAGGATGTTCTTTTGAAGGCTCGCGGTCTCTAGGTATTTTGTCCGGATGTCAAGTTCTGACTTAGCTGCTTAGGCTGCCGACAAAAGCTTAGAGACGGCACATATATTATACATGTACGCATCGAGTTCGCATCACAAATCGGAGCCACACGCAGTCGGACAATTATTGACAACATACCTAGGTAGTAGAACGGTACGTAAAGTCCAAAGTTGCCAACCACATTAGCAAGCGCCAGCGTGGAGTATCGGGGATCGCTGAAGCCGTTGAAGTCAACGATCGACCAGATAGACTTGACAGGCTTGCGAGGCAGCTTGGGCCGGGAAACTACAATGGCTATCCCGTAGCATACCAGAGCAATTAGCGCAGCGATCCGCAAAGCCCAGCCAAAGCCGATCCGAGGCACAAGATGAGAGAACATGATGGGGAGGCAGACACCGCCAGCACTGCTTCCACTGGCGACAATACCGATGGCCAATGCACGTCGTCTTGTGAAGTGTTGACTGGCGAGAGGCAAAGAGACTGCCGTACCAAACACTGCGGTCGCTCCGAAGATGACACCCTATCGTTGACGTCAGAGGTCAGAATCTCAACGGGTCGGACGCGTAGTTGCGGCACGTACCTGTGTGAGAATGAAGTGCCAAATATGACCTGGCTGGGCGAACGAGACACCGATGCTCGATACAGTCGCTCCGACAGCCGCGACAGCATAGAGAATGCTCGGGCTATAGGAATCGGCGAGGCCACCGGCGACAGGTTGAATGAGGTTCATGAGACCGAGCTGGAGGGAGCCGATGATTGCGATGACCGAGCTCGGGTACCCAGCCAGACTATGGCCGAGGTAGTAGTCCTGGAAGTACCCGAAGCTGTTCATATAGCCAAAGGACACGAAGTAGACGAGGAACGAGCCGGCCACGGTGAGCCAGCCTGCGACGGTGTGCTCGTCGCCATCGTTGCGGTGGGCGTCGTCGCCTCTACCTTCAACCTGTTCAGGGTCAGATCTGGTTTGCATCGTGATTGTGGGGGCTACCTGGGGTTACGAACAGCGCAGTGATGTCGTCAATAGTTGGGATTGTGTCGTCGTGTGGTTCTTCCTCGACGACGTTGACGTTGTTGATATGATTGGGAGAAGAGTCAAAGTCGCGCATCGCGGGGTGAGGTCTGCACTATTACTCAGATTTGGCCTCGGTCAAATTTTGTGCAGGGGTCTGATTCCTCTATCTTAACCACTGATAACGCCTTCCGGCTGCATCGGCATTCAGCTATCTAGCATCATTGCCCGGCTCCTTTTCACGATCCTACCCTACATGAAGCTCCCATGCGGTCATTTTCGCAGCAACATGAGCGACGTCTTGAACGTCATTAATCGGTTTCAGAGCCTTCGGTACCACGATGCGCCACGGCGAGGGATGCAGTGGAGTGAATGCGATTGAAGCGATTCAGGCATGTCGTCCAGGTTTGTAGGTTTGAACTCAAACACATACGCCATGTAACCTCTCTAGTCTTGTCTCGGCCATCCATTGGGTCCCGATGGTATTTACTTGTATGCTGTGTTTTCACCTCATCAGTTGTAACCACCAAACTATTACTTTCACCCGACCTAAAGACTCCACATATCCACTTTCAAACATTCAGAGAGCCGCCCAACACCATGCCCAACGCTTTGAGAACTGGTCCTTCGCAGCCTCCGCAAACCCCGGACCAGACCCCGCGACATCTCTATCGCGTGTTTGATACCAATTCGAAGGGTCAAACATCCGAAACCCAAGTTTCTTCGGAACATTCTTCGGTGCTCACTTTGCCTGGACGCAATCGAGGATGGACAGGCTTTTTGGAGAAGGATGACTACCAAGGCATCCGAGCTACTCGACTTGTCCAGCACCTCAATTGGGAAGTCGTTCCCCCCTACGGTTCCGGTCTTGTGTCATGAACAAGCTCTCTCCTCTTTGCGATTCAATTGTGCATATACAAGTATGCCACGAATCTATCCTCCTCTCAGTCGCAAGCTAGCAGGATCACCATGCTAAACGACTTGTACATCCTCATGATTGACACGCGCGAACTGCCTCGGGGCACATTTCTCCGAGACCTTGACGCCATTGAGGCTCTCAAGCACTTGGACCCATGACTCGAGAGATTATACAAGTTGTGAACCGGGGACAATTGGGCTTATTACTTTGGAGAATACCTCTCACAGGGGACCATCAAACTCGGACCATCTACGAGAAAGGCTCCTTTTCCTCGACTCGTCAATGATGGCTTATTTGACATCTTCCCGCACCTGAATCCTGAGAGCGTTGAGGACGGTCTGGCGAATCGGGTTGTTGAGCTACGGAACGAAGTTGAAGGTAAGAGTAAGTAGGACTATGGTCAGCACGTTGACCCCCTTCTAGTTAGGAAGGCTTTAACCCTTGGCGTTACATGCTTCGGACCGAAGCTTTCTGGGCCTTTCGCAGCGATGCTTTTGTCGATGTTGGATTATCCTAGCAGACTAAGCGCTGAAGCTATGACAACATTCTTGACCTTGTACAGTCGTAAGTGACCTCCCGCATAGCACTCGCCGATCCCTTCCATTCCGCTTTCCTTTCTTCTACGAATTCCCAACGGTACGAGCCAGCACTCATCGCAAGTCAGAACCAACACATTTTCTCGTCGAGCCTGTGGAAGTCCCAGCTGAAGGTCCTTGGGGAGTCTATCGATATCATGGCTTCGTCAAGGAAATCATGATGTATGAAAAGGCTGGGGAGGCCAAAAGAGAGGCTGTTAAGCAGAAGACCGCCGAGCTGCCAGAACAGGTAGATTACGTCAGGATCTCTCGTAATCTTACGGTATATGCACGATGCCCTCCAGGCCCAGTCAATCAATGACGTGCACATCTGCTCGGCTATTCGAGATCTGAGCAGTCCATCACGAGATCGTTCAGCATGCATGTGATCGGCAACAAGCTTTACACTACAACATTGATCGCAGGAGTTCTCCCGAGCTTTGACTTAGAGCGGACAGAGAAAGGCCGCAGGGAAGGCAAGTCTAGAGAGACTTTGGTGGGCATATCTAGATGAGAATCCCCGACATTCAAGCCACGGCTTTCAAATAGATAAGCAACAGAGTTTAGTCGCTTCGGGCAGAGTAGAATAGATCAGGGAGCAAGCAAAGTGATTTGATCATGATATTTACCAGCCAGGCAGGTTCCAATTCAGATACCCACGTTATATGCGCGCACGATAAAATTGGATAAGGCGCGGTTGAGACTTGAATTCACTTGACGTTGTGACACCCAGAGACGAAGTACTTTTTAAATGGCGACGTCACATGTTGTTTGTATTGTGTACACTACTAATTCTTCATATATGCTCATGCAATCTCCTACCTTATCCCAAAGACCTCACGCATCCACAAATCGAAGGTACATTTCTAGCTACGTTCACATCCAGCCAAAACATGACTGCATCAAACATACTCAGCCGTCACCGTGTTGTACCGTTGATCTATAAAGAGTCAATATACATGTCAAGATGTCTTAGCAGAGGGGAACTCACTGTTGTAGAGCAATGTGTACGTGGTTGAGGCTGAAAGATACACGGCTTCGATCTTACAGTTCAGCTCGTAGTACCATTGGCCGTCAAGCCCCTGGCGACGTGAGAGCATGTGCTCGGGGATGTGCCCGACATCAGCCTCTACATGAACGAGCATCGCAACATTCTCATCCCGAGCAACAGGCGCAATTCGTTGATTGCGATCAGCATAGATATCCATCTTGATCTTTTTGATACGGCCTTGGCTGACGAGACCGGTCCACACGAAGGATGTGTAGAAAGGCTCGTTCTCGGAGACGTTATCGCCCCGTTGGATGAACCATTCCATGGTGTAGACTTTGTAGCAACCATCCAAGCCGCACCAATGTCGCTTCTGCTCGAGATGCTTGTGGACCTTAGCATCGTACTTGCTTCGCCACTCGGTGCCGTAGTGCTTTCTGGCTTTGCGATTCTGAACCTTGACTTGCGTAAGCTTGTCAGGCGATACCTGAGCTAGACCCTTCATGACGGCGCCTTGAACAACTGCCTGCCAAGCATTGGGGGGCTGCATGATTTGGATGCTCTTGTCAATAGCGTTGCGCAAGCGCTCCTTGAGATAGTTGGATGCGCCGAAGCCGCCAACAAGGAGGATAGCACGAATCGGTACGTTGCTTGCTATGATCTGGTCCTTGACAAGCTTGATGCACTCCAGAACGACGGGCTCGAAGATGGTCTGAAGATCCGACGCCTTCAGGGCGAAACGACCACGGTTGATCCCGAGCTCTTTGTTGTTGGCCAGACCACCGACTGGTATGGTGTAGGTGTCGTCGGGGGCAGCGCCGAGGGTGAACTGTCGCTTGACCTACGTATTATTAGTCGAAGAGCTCTATTCAAGATACGCTTGGAAGCGGCAAGCCACAGTATGGTAGACGAAGATGCAAGCTTGCCTTCTTTTCGAACTGTTCCATGGCCTCAGCCATGATCTCGTCATCGAATCCATCTTCCTTGCCCAGCTTTGCCTTTAGAAACTTGGCGAAGCGCATGTTGAGGAACGTCGAGCCGCAGAGTGCACCAGAGCCTGGAGCAGCCTCTTGGACCTCCAGAATGGGTTTAAGACTGGTAATTGTGTAAGAGATCAGGTCCACAGTGCCTCCTCCAGCATCCACAACCACTACAGTATCATCGACTTTGAGCCCATGTGGGTCCAAGCCATGTAAGGCATAGATGGCCGCGGCTTCTGGCTCGGAGACAAGGTGGATGGGAGCAATAGTGTTGGTGACTGTGTTGAGACCAGCAGCTCTTTGGCAGGCTTGTTTGGTCTTGTCCTTGGCGAGATCTGACCAGATGGCGGGTACCGTAACGACAAACTCCAAGGGAGTGGTGTTGACAACCTGCTCTCCGAGCTTTTCCTTCAGGGTGTACACGAGATGGTCGCCCAGCGCCGAGATGTAGTCCGTCACGAGCTTGTCGACGTTGCGGCCACCTCGAGCCTCTGAGGAGACAGCTTGGCCCATACTTTGCAGAGAGGGGTCGAGATCACTGGGACACGTTAGCTCTCCGTTTTCCCTACTTCCCGTTCTCAGAGTTCCAAGAACGAGGGTTTCATAGGAGTAAAAGCACCCACAGTTTGAACCACTCGACGACTTCAGCTTGCGGTGCGGTAACGGGGATGGAAAAGCCCCATTGAACATCGTCGCCGGCATATCGGAGCTTAGTGGGGACTTTGTCGGAAGATTCGCCCTCGCGGATGGTCTTGCTGATAGGCCAGGTGGTGATGGCAGTTCGTCGATCGGGACGTTGGGTTTCAGCCCACGCCACACCTGAATAAGTGGTTCCGAAGTCGATGCCGACGATGATCTTACGCTCGCTGATGGACATCTTCTCGAAGTCGAAAGAGTCCATGGCTAGAGGATGTGGTGCTGCCAGGTGGTGTAGAGGGTGTTTAAAGGCAAGAAACCGATCCCGAATATAAGTGGAAACGGGATGCAAAGCGCCGATCAGCTGGTAACGACCAGGACAGAGCAGGTTGTTGGAATCGGTGAAGCGGAACCCTCTCTTTCCGAATGAAGCTGTATCGAAGTAGGCTTGGCGGGCTCAAGACTAAGTTGAAGGAGATTTCGATTGCTGGAGGATGATCTAGTCGCAGTGGAAAGAGGCAGAAAAGAGAGAAGAGTTGGATCGTAGCATGGAGGAAAGTGAGGGGGCGGATGTCAGAAGCTGGTTCTCATCAAACTTGATAGAAAGATGTGCTTGGGCAAGGTACGTAGAGGTCAGCAGACAGAAGGAGAATCTGCCTTGATGAAGCTTGGGTGCGAATGTTTGAAGGGTTAAGGGCAGCAAGAGGCTCTGGCTAAACCTTTTTAGTCTTCGGGTTGGCGTGGCGCAAACAGACGAAGAACGTCAGTTTTGCTTGAAAGCTCCTTCCCTGGTCGACCGACCCATCCTACCTTAGGTAAGAGGGATGGAAAGATGGCACAACATCTCTCATACTGAACATGAACGACAGCTAACAATCATGGAACCAAGACAATCAGTCCTTTGAAAAACTCGCTGCCTTATGCATCAAGCTCATGCGGGTTCTGACCCGTCGGGCACGTTTGAAAGCCGTGGATGCATCTAGGCGTTGTAGGTCTGAGCGCCGAGATATTCGTCCCTCATGCCATGCAGCTCAGGCTTTCTAATGAGGCGTCATTCAGTCTATTTTATGCCACTGAGGTCCCAAGGCGTTCGACATTCGCTCCTTTTCAACCTTTTCAAGGCACCACGCAACGTGTTTAGCTGTTTCTGGACTCCCGTAAGGTACCGTGGGTACCTCAAGGTGCTTGGTGAAGAAAGTGACTTTGACGGGGCACATCGGTACTTCCCAGAACTACCAGGGTGTCAGCCTTGAAGGTACGTATCTCATTGAGGCCCCACCCCCGCCGTTGTATCTTACCTACCTAGGTGAGGTAAGGTAGGTACTCCCCCACTTGGCGGGGTCGTTCTGGCAGGCAGCTTCCAAGGCAGTGGCATGCCACCTTTACCGAAAGCTGCCTTGTCTCTTGCAGGTACGAGATATTCAAACCGAGAGGAAGGTTTGATAGAGCTCCTACCTACTCTAGGTAACCTACCAAGCCTCGGGCTTTCATCACACAAGGGCGGGGATCTGGGGTATGACCTCGATTCCCTGTCATGAAAGGCGGTATTGCAAGGTACCTAACCTTACAGACTTGACCTTGGGTAGGTATTCGCCCGGATTCTCCATGGCACCGGAACCTTCCTTCATTTGTCCGTGCGACTTCTCCCAGGCCTCTTTCTCGGTCACATCTCATCCCAACTCTCCCTCTAAGTCTTTCATTCTTCCGATGCATAGTAAGACTCGGACCTCTCTTTTCATCTAAACATATCCTCCACTGCTGCCGTCTCCTAGCATTACTACTCGGCATAATGGAAGATCTCACACAGGTAGACCCGACTCTTCCGCAGCACCGCGAGGGTCACAACCCACCCGTCCCAGACAAGAGACCCCTCGACACTAATGCCGGGGCCATGATGCTCGACGACTCGAGACTTACCTATAGTCAGACCCCCAAGAACCAAGCAACCACCACAATAGAGCCGGTTTACCCCAACACGATTTCTGCCACTGACATGATGGGCTTCACCAAGGTCGAGATGCCTGCTCCGGAGAACGGAGCTCAGAGCAGTGGACCAAGGCAAGCTTTACCCAAAGGCCTCGTTGCCACTCGTTTCAATAATTATCCTGCCTCCAATTCTTCTCGTCATCACCTATCGCCTTCCTCGACGGTCACCTCATCTTCTTTTGTCGAATGCGATTTGATCGACCTCGGTACCGACGTTTCCTCGCCATCAAGAGAGTTATCAGAGAAAGATGTTAAAACCAGTACGCGTGACGGAGACGAAGCAGATGCCAGCGATGTGTTACTACTACGCCGTGAGATCATGGAGTTGCGCCACAGGCTCAAGTCGACAACGGCTAGAGCTGAGATTGCCGAGGAAAAGGTCGAGCGAGCAGAGCGGAGGATAGGCGAGATCAAATCTACCGTGGCCTCGACTATTACAGAGATTGAGAAAGACACGGCACCCCTTGCTTCAAAACTCAACGAGCTCAACACAGAGAACTCGGCTTTAAAAGAACAACTCAGGGATGCCCAGTCTCACATCTTTAGCCTTCAACCTTACCGTAAGGAGCTGACTCCCGAGGAAGTCGGGCGCGTAAGTCCACTATCTCTACATAAAGCGATAGTCGTTTGACAATCTGGTAGGAATACGATGATCTCATCGAGGGTATCAGTGATTGGGTTTCCAAGTTCATGGATCCGTATCTGGATGATCACGAAAAGGGAGTTGAGGACCTTATGATGACTGCCCGCAGGAGACCCAGCGACGCTCTCAAGTTGAAACAGGTCATACACCTATATCCCGACCTGGTTCACGGCGCCGTTTTCCCAGAAACAGACGAAGATATTGTCGTCGCAATCATCATGAGGTTTATCAACGACAATATTTTCCAAAAGATTATGTACGGCTCCATCGCCAATTACGTCGAAGTACTCAGCTTCGTGGAGACAGCCCTCCAGAACCACGTTGATCCCAAGCGAGGTACGAGCACATTTTTGTTATTATCATTGGCCTTTGAAACTGACCTGTCCCAGATCTCTTCGCGATACGAACCTGGACGGCAGAAGCATATAACGCAATCTTGAGCTCTCGAGACTTCAAGGGCTGCCGGGAGAAGAAGATGCGCGAGCTCACAATCGAGCTTGCCACCATTTTCAAGATACTCAGCCGAAAAGACAAAATGGAGGCATTTTACAAGAGCTTTGAACAGGTTTGTATCAAACCAGCAATGCAGCTGTATGAGAAGATACAGGTTTCCACCAACCATTTCTATTTCGATATCAACCCGTACATAGTCTGGGGCGGGGACGACGAGATGCAAACCTCGACAGACTTCCTCGACAGCTTGCAAGATCTCGACTGCAAGAACATACTCCAGAACCGCAAAGCATTCAATCTGATGAAGATTGACCCGCAGCCTACCAAAAAGGAGCTGTATCACCACCTGCTCAATGTTTGTACTCTCACCCCAGCGCTTTACATGCGGCAAATTGGGCGCAAGGATGTCATCAAAGAACCACAGCTCGTGCGACGTCAACAGATGCTGGTGGCATGGGGCCCGCAAGAAAAGCGTGACAAGTTCCAGGAGAATGGGGACCGTACGCTTCTGAGCCATCTATACTACGCTAAGACCGATCGAGAGAGGCAAGAAGCCGGTGGGTGGACGAACTTTCGTTGGGGTGGCTAGAGGCACCAGGTATCGCTTACGAATTCTCTCCGTTTCCTGTCCAGGCTAGTATTGGTGTTATATCCCATTTGTTATACCAGAACTGCCAAAACGAGGTGCACATTCTAGGGGGCTGCTTTGGTCGGTAATGCTCACTGTGGGATTGTTAGGTATCGATGGCAGAAGTAGATACATGTAATCTCTGGGGGCACTTTGCTATACCTGTTTCCTGGGTGTAGATCGTGTACAGCTTCCTGATTGGATCATGGGATATAAGATCCACGGGGATACAAGAAGCTATCACGATTGATCATTCTTGCGGCTTATATCCACTGACAAGGTGCTCGGAGCCTGATGCAGGCGTTCTAGAAATCGAGGCCCCCAAATCGCGCAGTGAAGTACCAATACCTCCAACAAGCCGGCTTAATTTTCGGGTCTAAGGCTGGGACACGTCGGAGCAATGCAAGTGAGGTGCAGATGACTTTGGTTGATTCTTTAATTAGACTCGAGGAAACTTCAAGATTATTCGACTTTCGATTCAAAAGCTGACCGTCTTAGATAAGGTACCTATGTAGTCACAAACTATAGCGGGGGTTTAGGTTGAGTGAGGCTTAACAGGTAGCCGCTAAGGACGGGCAACGGGCAGTGGCATGCGCTAGAGAGTGGGTCCTGGCGTGCCGGGCGATCTGTAGAGACTTGCAGGTACATCTGCCTCCTCCAGCAGTACTTGCGGTACGTACCCTACAAGGCGCTCCCCGAAAGTGGAAGAAACATTCAAGGCAGGTCCGCCTCGGAGCTGTCTGACCATGGCATGAACCACTTGGACGTCAATCTGGAACTGCTTCTACCTTCAAGGTTCACCAACGCCCCTCGTTCGGCCTCATCTGATTCTCTTTCAGTTCGTTGCCTCATGCGCCCGCCGTCATCATTGAACAGGAGCGCCAAACAAGGCAAAGCCAAGCTGCGATACCTCAACTCCCGCCTCTCAAACCACGAACGCCGAATTGCGACTCTTCTGGCAGCCACAAGAGGTACAGGCTCAGTCTCCTGAGCCTGGTTTCAGCGTCCGGTCTTCGTCCCTGCAGGCACTCGCCTACTCCCCGTTCAAGTCGCCGTCCAACGTCCATCTGCATTGGGTTCTGAGACAGGGCTCTAATACTCATCCTCACTCTCTAGGTTAGTCTTTCTGAGGTAGTAGGTACTCGGCTACTGAACTAGGTATCTAGTCGCACTACGAACACGTTGTCTCGTGGCCTTTCTGCATCAGCTCTATGCTCGGACGGTGATGCAAGGTTAAAGGTCCGAGTTGAACTCCAAGCAGCCGGCAGGGAACCCCCAGTCAGTTTGTCGCCATTTCAACATGTTTCGATCTTTTAAGGGAAGATTCATTGGCGCATTTCAACACGATCCGCAAACGACAAACAGTTCATCAGAGTCCGAACCACAGCTGTCCTTGCCTCCCTCTGGTTGGCTCCCTTCTACGGGCGGGGGACGGCCAAACACCACCACCCAAGAGAACCAAACTACCTCTTTTCTCAAATCCGGCTCTTCTTTTTCAAGTTCACACCCGAAGATCGCGCCTCGTCTTACTACGACCCCATCGACGTCACATCTGCTGCCCGTGGACTTCCTCGTTGACGGGACTCCAGAGCGGTCCACAGACGTTCCGAAATTATTAGCGGCAACACAGGTAGCTAATCCAGCTTCGATAGCATCTGAGGAAAGCTGTCAACAGCAGCAGACAGACGCATCAAGCGATTCTTCACCAAGACTCGTTCCACATGTCGAAGACTTCCCGTTGACGAAGATGTTCGCACCTCCAAACAGCGGACTGCCACCTAGCTATCACTCCAGCGCCAACCCCTCTCTCGTGGGAGGTTTTGGCAGCGATGGGCTCGATCCCGCCCCGGCATACGATTGGGGATTGGCCCTGGATGTTGACAGATCAAGCAACGAGCAAGACACATTAGCACGAAATGTCAGTCATGATCAGCCTCAACCACCAGCTCCCTTACCGGAGGTTCCACGTCGAGTCAACTACTACCGCGCCATAAGCGCCGACATTCTGGCAGACTTCGACTTCCCACTGCCCGTGGCCAAGTCCACGGCCACAATCACAGAGGCGGCGATGCCTTCTTCTTCTACTCCACCACCACAAAGGGGCTACCGGCCGACCCCAGCGTCTATCCTCGAGGATTTTGACGTTGCACCATTTTCACCACAGACCACAGGTGGCAGCTCCAACACCGCAGCTAGTACGCCGCCGGTATTGTCGCCGCCCACACGCTCGAGGTCAACGTCGAAGCTCGTGTTAGCGTCGACGGCTTCGAATAATCCGTATGTCGAGCTTCTTGAGCAGAAGGAGCAAGCAATGACGGTTGCCTTTTTGCGCAGGCAAGACTCAGCGTCGGGATCTCGGTCTGCGGATCTTGGAGCTGATGATTTCAGGTAAACATGCACCCTCGAGCTGGATCGATAATCTTTGCCAGCCTTCATCACCGAATTATTTGATATTTCTCCTTGTCAAGAGTTGTGTTTTGGTTCAACATGGCTAACAAGTCTCAGTTTCGGCCAAAGATATCACAAGGCAGCGGACACAACTGATGTTGTTGTTACCAGGCAAAGACTGCCAGCAAATGATCTAAGCGGTTCTCGAGAATGCCCGATTTGTGCCGAAATGAGGGAAATTTCGTCGTTTCCCGTCCTAAGTGTGACTCCAATGTGCACTCACCCGCCAGAAGCGTGCCTAGAGTGCCTTCAAATGTCCATCAAATCAGATCTGAATAGCAAGCTATGGACTGAGATCCGGTGCCCAGAATGCCGCGAGTTGCTGGAATACATCGACATTCAAAAGTACGCAGACGAAGAGACATTTGCTCGGTAAACTCCCCAATAATCTGTTTGCAGGTCCCAAAGTCACTAACGCCTTCCAAGATATGAGGCTTTGGCACTTCGCGCTGCCATGGCTGAAGCTGATAACTTCATTTGGTGTACGGCAAACTGTGGGTCGGGCCAGCTTCACGATACTGGCGGAGACCAACCCATCGTGACATGTTTGCATTGCGGTCAGCGGTTTTGTTTTAGCCATAACGTTACATGGCATGAGAACTTGTCGTGTGAGGAGTACGATGCGCTGCTGCGAGACCCAGACAACTTCCGCTCACGCATCGAAATGGAGTATGATGAGTTCGACTCGGCGCGACAGGCACAGGAAGACGCCGATCGGGCGATGGCTCAGGGCCTTATGGCCGAACAACAGGCTGAGATTCAGGAGCATGAAGCTAGAGAGCGTGCCGAAAGGGAGAGAGCCCGAAAGGCGGCAGCCCTGGCGAGGAAGGTTGCTGCTCGCCGAAAAGCGGAAGAAGAGCAAAGCCGAGTGACCGTAAGCCGGACAACGAAGCCTTGCCCTGGTTGTGGATGGGCCATTGAGAAGAACTCGGGGTGGTGAGTGTCCTTCTTTGACATCAGAGCAAGGAGTTCAGCTAACAGGCATTTGATAGTTCGCATATGACTTGTAAGTATCCCTGTTCTTGCGTCTCTCATGTTTGACCCCCCATCCACTCTTCTGCCCTTTGTTCTCTCTGCGTCGTTTCTATCGGACTGAAGCCAATATCATCGCAGGCATCAAATGCCGCTACGAATTCTGTTGGGGCTGTTACTCTACCTGGGAACGGTCGCATAGTGTTCGATGCCGAGGACCTGTGCCTTCCGTCTAGGCAAGACAGTGAGCCTCGGCGCTTATAAAGATGCGAGAAAGCGGAGGAAAGTCAAGAAATGTCTAACCTAGAGGCCGATTCCTAGGTTCTAAGTGCAAGCACGAGTTCTGCTACGAGTGCGGTGCGGATCATAAGCGTATTTTACTGCTTGACAACAGCATACACAGCGAAGACTGCCGCTTTCATCCGAACAATCTTGCCGATTAATTTTTGACGACGCAGGACTGTTCAACTTTGATACCTAAGACGGACACTAGAGGCGGGCGTGTCATCGGGGCGGGGATGGAGGTCAACTACATACAGCCCATGTCAACAACATTGAATTGGACACTGCGGAGTTTTGTATTTCCAAGTCGCATTTAAGCAGATTGATCAGGACCAGGGGATGAGTCAAGAGTGAGTTGTGGTATTATTCTTTCGATTTGCCTAACCTATTCTACGCCGTATCCTCTGTAGGTGTTGTGTCTACAAACCTTTGTGTACAAAATTTGCAAAACCAAAAAAAAAAATGTAAGACTCGTCAAAGATCCCATCGAATCATGCTTTCTTCGTTGAAGTTTCGCCTCCCTTCCCATCGACTAAACTAAACAAATGCACCTTTGCAAGATCGCTTGTGAGACTCACTGTAGATTGTAAATCATGAGCACCCTCGCCTTCTATGCGGCGGTCAACTCCGCAATGCGCCTCTCAATCTCAGGCACCTGCCGCAGCAAGACCTCAAGGTCCTCCTTCTCATCCTCGAGCTTCAGTCGGCGATCGGCGTCGAGCTTGGTGAAGACAAAGTTGCCCTGCCCATCGAACTGAAGAATGCGGCTGTGGTACTTCCACAGACTGCGACGATGGCTGACGGTCATGAGGGTGATGCCGAGCGCCTTTGCGTTATCGTACATGACCTTCTCCGTCTCGAGGGTGACGCTAGAGGTACACTCGTCGAGGATAGCGTAGCGGGGCCGGTGGTAGAATAACCGCGCCATGGCGACGCGCTGCTGCAGGCCGCCCGAGAGGACGTCGCGCCACTCTGCCTCGGCGTCCCAGCCCTCGGGGTAGAGCTCGGGCAGGTGCTCGAGGCCGAGGAGGGAGAGGATGGAGAGGAGGTCTGCGTCTGTGACGGACTTGGCGCGCATCTGGCGGAGGGAGTCTGGGTAGGTTATCTGTTGGCGGAGGGAGCCGCGGGAGAGGTAGGGCCGTTGGGGGATGTAGAAGATGTCGGAGAAGGGGGCTTGTGGACGGTGCCGCCGTAGACTGGCCAGAGGCCGCCGAGGATGCGGAAGAGGGAGGATTTGCCGCAGCCGTTGGGGCCGACTACGAGGAGGTGGTCGCCTTGTTTTAGGGAGAAGGAGAGGGCTTTGATGAGGACGTCGCCGTTGGGGGAGATGATGGGACTGTTTTTGGTATTAGTTGGATTGCATGTAGGTGGGTAGATGGCGACTTACACATTGATGAATTGAATGTCCTTGCTCTCGACCACGGTACCGCGGCCCTTGAGGACGGCCTCGTTATTCTCGGTGCCCGAGCTGGAGACGAGTTTCTTCTCAAAGCGGCCGGCGCGGATGTCGTTCATAGTCTCGAGAAGGGAGTCGACACGGGAGGTGTAACCCGCCAACTCCATGATCTCACGGTACGAGAACATGATGCGGCCAAAGGCATCTGAGGCAGACAGTAGCATGCGGCGGTTGGTGACGAAGCTCTCGGTGCGGTCGCCCATGTTCATGGCAATGTGCCCCGGCATCTTGACGAAGACGGGGACGGAGCAAAGCAGCAGGCCGAGGGCGCCCCAGAAGTACTTGATGACAAAGTCCTCCATAAAGCCGTGGTAGAAGCGCCGGCGGAGAATGTAGTTTACGTGCTTGATGAGAGTGAAGTAGCCCTTGTCAAGGGTGTCCTTTTCGGCCTCGTGGCCCGAGTAGAGAGCGACTTCTTCGGCGTGGTCGATGAGGCGCGAGTGCTGGAAGCGGAACTCGCCTTCGAGCCGGGCCTCGTCGGCGACGTATTTGCCAAAGGGCGGGGTGAGGGCGCGCATTACGTTTGCGGAGAGCTGAACGAGGAGTGCCATTGAGACGACGCCTTCGCCACCTACGCTTCGTGAGAGCGAGTGCGTGTAGATTGTCTAGTGATGGTCAGTGTTTGGTTTCCATGAGGGATTGTAAAGGGAAAAGGGTTGTACCATATCCAAGACGGGTTTCGCGAGGTTGCTGAAGAGCTCGGCCAAGCTGTTTGAGAATTTGGCGACATCGACTGCAATCAACTGGTCTGGATTGTTTATCCGGTCGTCGAGGGCAGAGATGCCGTAAAAGGTCAGCTTCGAGAGGTACTTGTCGTGGATGTGCTGCGTCAACCGCGTCCGGTACTTGAGCGATAGCTCCGCTTGGTGGTAGGATAACTGCACGGCGTGTTAGCACAAGTCCGACACGGGGGCATCCAGAGCACCCAGCAGACTTACCATTGAGTTTGTAAACGTCGCAGGGATAGCAATCAACATCCACCACACGATGCGCATCAAAAACTCCCGTCCATTACCCTTGACCAAACTCTTAACAATGGCGCCGTCCATGGCCGCAACCTTGAGACTAATCAACGTCCTAACAACCAAGAAGAAGGAATGGCTGATGAGCAGCCTAGCCTCCTTGCTCCGCCATCCCGGTATGACAATCTTGAGCAGGCGCAGTAAGGAACGGAAGAACTCGCGGTTGAGCTCGACTTTTTTGCGTTTCTTGGTCATGTCCTCGTCCGAAGGGGCGGCGACGGTGGCGCGGGACTCGCGGGCGGCGGCCTCGCGCGCGGAAGCGGCTTTTTGGTCCGAGATGGCGCGGCGGATGCGGTTCGCGAGGGCGACGAAGAGGGTGATCCAGACGGCGCGGGAGATGCGCGTGCGGTTTTGGAGGTAGAGCTGGGTGAGTTGGAGGGCGAGGTTGCGGACTGTGCGGTTTGAGGGGAGCCCGATGAGGGAGACTTTGGATTGGGCGGCCATTGTGGGTGGTGGTGTCGAGGGGCGTCTCTGCGCGCGCGCGCCGCTGGGTGAGTGTGGCAGCGATCTCGAGGTCCTTTTCGTCTCACGATGCCTTTCGGAGAGGATGGTTCGTCACAAGGTCGCGGTTATGTTGCTTGTGAAGATGGACGAGTTGCCGCGGCTACGTCACGCCGGTAGCTGTGGGGGAACGTCCGTCGGTTGACGCTGGGATTAAGTCGTCAGCGCATTCGTCGCGGTATTTCGATCGAGATCCGTCGTTCGCAAAGGAGATATATTGCTGGAGAGTAGTATCAAAGGTGTTCGCAGTCGGTCAGAAAGGGGAAGATGATGATGTTGACAACGGCCATGGCTGGTGACGGGTGCTTGGGGTGAGTGTCACACGGCAGGTCCTTCGGACGAGGCTTTCGGTTAGGTTGGGGTCCAGTCCCCTTCCCCTTCCAGATTCAGCAGCCAAAACGTTAAAATAAATGGCACTGGGGCCGCTTGTTGCTTTGCGTCGCTTCGGTGGCTCGGGTCTTTGTTCTGATTCAGCACTGGGTACTCCGTAGAGTTGATCCTTAGGTTCTGCTGGGGAAAATGGGGGAAAGCTGGCCCTGTTTGACCTCTCTGTCCCTCGGCTCCCCGGAGTGACACGGTACATGGGTGCTGGAGGAGAGCGGCCCCGTAGCGGCGAGCAATCTGATTGGCCAACCCCGGAAAATGGCCTTTTGGCCCGTTCCCATGTGAATTGGCTGCCGATGGCATGTGATTTGTGAGCTCTGTCTGTGCCTGAGGCGTAATTATCTAATCAAATGTGGCTTGACGTTCGAGGGTAGACTCACCAGCCATATCGCGGGGCAACTTCTCCAAGCAGCTTTTTCCTGTCCGAATTCTTTTTTTTTTTTTTTTAAAAAAAATTCGGCTTGCCACCCCTCAACTTGGATGACTCCATTGCCAATCATCCCAGCAAACTAGAATCGCAACAACAGCGCTCTTCTCTACCTTGGACCACACAAATCCACGCCAAAATGTCCGACGACAACATTTCCATCTACGATGAGATCGAGATCGAAGACATGACCTGGGACGAGGACATGCAGATTTACCACTACCCTTGCCCCTGCGGCGACAAGTTCCAAATCGCCCTGGCCGACCTACGCGACGACGAGGATATTGCCGTTTGTCCTAGCTGCAGTCTCATGATTCGCGTCATCTTTGACAAGGTAAGTCCCATCCGTTCGCAAGTGGAGGGCCTGGAAAGGAAGCTTCACGTGGAGAAGAGTTGTAATGTTTAACATGTAATCGCAAATGCAGGACGATCTCCCCAAGGACCCCGAAGATGAAGCCGAACCCGCTGTTGAGGAGGCGTCTGCTCAGATCCCTGTTGCCGTTTGAAGAAGAACGCTGTTCAGATTCTACAATCAAATGCTGCGTCGCGGACGAGGTTGCTTCGACTGCGCGAAGGGTACTCCAGCAGAAGGTCGCGCGCCGCCAGCCAGCCAAGCACATCAACCAAGCGCAGAACCCGGCGCAAATACAGGTGCTCAGAACTGGCCTTCCTCCACGGCGCAACATCAGCGAGGTAGCCGATTGCCATTCACTAAGGGGGCGAGATACTTCCCCAAGAGGAACAAGTCACCATGTCGGATGAATACTATAGCCGCCCGGGTGCCACAGAGGCTTGGTGTCACGGCAGCTCCCACTCCTATTACGATATAGGCAGAGATTGCAATGTGCCGCAGACGTAACAGTGGAGGCAAACATTCTTAAATGAAAGACGCTACCGAGTCGAACGCTCGCTCCGCAGCATCAGGCCACTGTTCCTTTGAACAAAGGGAGTTTGTCTGCGTGCCGCGCCGCTGTTGCTGAACTTGCGCTGAGGATGGCCGTGCTGGCCAGTTGATAGACAGATCAAGGGGCGGCGCGGTTACGGGAGTCTTGTTGCAAGAACTATATGGGTGTTGGACGAGAGTCAAGGTGGACTTTGTTTTGCGCTGTACTCTGCGCTGTAGACGAAAGCTCGGGGTCTGGAAGGGGAAGGTTATCCTATGAGATGATGGATATGCTCAAATTGGCCCTCGATGAATCATTCCACCACCCGGATACATACCTATGAATACACACTAGAAGCCTTCATGTACCCCTTCAAGTCCATTCCTGTCACCAGCCAGCAGGCGCCCCCTTGGGGGTCAGGTCAAAACTGGCTGGGTGGTGGAGTGGTTCAAGTCCACGAACAGCCTAATCGGTGAAGGCTCAGAGGTCCCGTGTTCGAGTCCCAGCAAGTGCACCAGAGATGTAGCCCTCAGCTGGCCACCGGGGTGGGGGAGGGTTAACTCTTTTGTCTCGTGCCTTCCTTTTCCCGATTCCACTTAAAGCGGAAAGACCCTTCCTTCCCTTTCCACGCAGTCACTACGGCAGTAATGAACTGGCGTTAAACAATCCATTACGGTCGTCGTCTACGGCAGCATTTGTTGATATCAAAGGTCACAAGGCAAGAGCGAAATATATATGGAAACTGTTAATTTTTTGTAATTAATTAGCCGCATTAATGCTATTCATGATGGCCATGCTTCATCATCGTATGCAGAATTTCCAACGCCGTTGCTCCAAGCCGTAAAAGTCATAATACATGTCCAAGCAAGTGCTGTTCTGCTTCCTCATGGTTCCCATTTCGAGCGTGAAACATCAATAAAGACCCCCGCTCTCATTATTCAAATATCCCGTGATGGTTTTCAATCCCTTACAGAAGGAAGAAGCTGGCAATGCCAAAGGCGATGAGGCCAGCAGCAGAGCTCTGGACCTTGTCGGCGGCGGCGGTGGGCACGGTGACGGGGCCGGTGGTTGTGGCGTTGGGGGACGAGGTGAAGTAAGTCTGGGTGAGGGTTGAGAGAGTAGCTGAAGGTCTATTAGTCTAATGGGTCTTGAAGGGTTCTAGTAAGAGATGATACTCACTGTTGATGAGAGGGGGGATGACGGCGGTGATGGAAGGAATGACAGAGTCGGTGATGGAGGGCAGAGTCTCGACGGGGTCAGTGCCGGTGGGAACGACGATGGGCGTCGTCACGGTGACGGGAGGGTCGCTGACGACGACCTGGGTGGTGGTCGTGATGCCTCCCGGGACGGTGGTGATGCCTTCCGAGACAGTGGTGGTGCCCTCCGGGACGCTCACGGTCGTGGAGGGCTCGGGCTCGGCGGAGGCGGAGGGAGAGACAGTGACGGTGGTCAAGGGAACGGTCTCGGTGACGATGGCAGTGGCGGTGGGCTCAGGGAAGGTCGGGAGGGTCAGGGTGGCCGTGATGCCGTCGGTGATGACGATGGAGGTGAATTGAGCAGCGGCAAGGCCGGCAGCGGAGAGGATGGCGAAGGAGCGCATTTTGGCTGATTGCTTGTTTGGTGGAGAGAAGAAGCTTAAGAGCCGTTGATGTGAGGTTGATACAAGAGTTAGTAGTGCCGGGAAGAGAAGCGACTGGTTTAGCTCGAAAGCTGGGGCTCTTGTTGATGAGATGAGGCGGGAAGTAGGAGTGAGATGTTCTGAACTTGTTGTTGCGGATGAAGGGTAAGAAAAGACTCTCGTTGAAAGAGAGACTGGATGGGAGATATATACTATTAGACGGGAGTGAGGGTCTGCGTGACGAGGAAAGCCCAGGCCGTACGACTACGTACGACGTATACAGGACATTGTGTGCTACAGCCTACGAGTCGATGACA